TTGCTTTTTGCTATTATATTATATTGTGATGTATGAGCTACTGTGTCCAAATAATTTCCCTTGTGGATCAAAAAAGTTTGTCTAAGTCTAGGATTAATATCTAAATAAAAGTAGTTTTGATTCTGATATAAGTAAAGAAGGATTCTGATAAGTATGTGGAATCCATATTTGAATCCACAGAATGCAAAACACATTTTGTTTTGAGCTATAATCTTTCAAAATGACATACATTTTCCTGAATGAGGTAACATATTTACAGTAAAGACATTTTCCAGAAACAAGGCTGTATTTCACAATAACACAACACAGGAAGGACCTTAGTCAGGGGCGTTTCTCAAATAGTTTAAGTTCAAAGGTTTACAGAAAGTCTCCATGATAACCCTACACCCTACACCCTCGTGCTACATTTTATGCTTCAGTGTTGTAGTTCTTGTCATGGCAGCCAGTGTCATAAATGTTAAGAAACATTTTGAGGAAGCAGATAATGCCTTGGATACTGTCTAAAATAAGAAAAAACTAAATAAGATTAAATGTAATTATAAATGGAATATTGGTATCACACCACCTCCTCGTGTTGTCAATAAAGAGTTCTTTTTACTGATAGCTTGCTTAATCTTTATTGTGGCTTGTACAATCTTGAGATTTATAGGATGCCTTTGATGTCAATATCACCAACGCCACCGTCGAACTAAAATAATTAACATAAATTACAATCAGAAAAGGTATAATATAAAAGACATCAAATAAAGACATGAACAATTACAAAAAACATACCTCGCTGGCTGACCCATATTTTGGAGGTAGAATGACCTTTAACATAACTTTATTCACTTTATTTTAACTTTAATTGACTTCTTTGCCGACACGCCACACTACTCTTTCTTGACCAGGCATTTGAGCTATTAATTAAAATAGAATATAGAATAAAGTTTTTTTAATTGACTTCAGTTGTAGTGTTGTGTGGCTTTGCAGCATGAGCATATAGGCATTGTATTTATTTACTTGTATTTAGGCATTGTATTTATATTTTGTATTTAGGAATTGCCCCTTAATGTCGACTGTTACAAATATGCAACAAACCCTTTGGATCAAGATATAACCCGAGATAGCGACTGCATTCTCCAATGCCGGTTAGTGCATATGCAGTATCGTCTTAGGAACCTTTGGCAAGCACTTGTGTCTAGCTGTCGCAAATTTTCGCCATACCTAAATTTCAATTTATTTTTTATATTTTTTGTTTTATTTATCTATTTATTTCATTATAATTATTTTTATTTATATATTTATTTTTGCTATAGTCAAATTAATAATCTCAACTTAATTTACCATCCACATAAAGGCAAAAACACACACAAAACATTTTTTATATACATCTTTATAAATTCAGGCATTAAGGGGTTAACATAATATTTCATTTACATAAAAGCTTGAACTTACAACAATTCTTGATTTTCGGACAAAACACAGATGTTGCTTTATTTGCATAAAGTGCATTAAATGTACCAATTACATAATACTCTATTTTTTAATCGTTTCACTTAACTGTAGTAACTTCATTGTGGATTGTGATGTGACTGATAAAGCTGAGCCTGTAACATATGTAATGTATAGCCATTTTTAATAAAGTTAGTGTATTTATAGTGTATGCACAACAGCTAAAGGATCTTAATGACAATAAGACATAATAACTTAAGTGAGAAACCATAATATGTTATATTATGAAAAATAATAATTATAAAAAAATAGAAAATGTCTGAAGAATTATCAGGGCTTGTTATGGTGCAGGTCAATCATGGTTCTTCAGAATGTAATCCTTGTTTACAGCCCATGACCAGGCTAAATCAGTCCATCATCTTAATTCTGCAGGTGAATAGTCTTCAAATGATGATCTAACTCTCATCTAAAAAATCAAAAAAGAAAGTATGTTCTTTTAGATGCTGCACATTACATTATTTTATTTTAGTTTTAGTTTTAATCCTAACTTACAGATGACGTAAGGGCAGGTTTACCCTGTTTCTGCTGCCAGTTGCTCTTGCACCATTCAGAGCAGCCCCATTGGAGAGCCACTCTGATGTGTCTGTTCTGGGGGGGATCCCTGAAAGGTACATGGGGGTCTGATGGCCTACCTCAGGAGTGAACGAGGGGTTTCTGTAACCTTTGTAAACACAAATGATTAAAAAACAGAACAAAAAACTTAACAAACACAAGGTTACCTATTATGATGGTAAAACAAATAGTTTAAAATACAGAGAGATCAGAATGTTTTATCACAGAACATGCAATTTGTTCTCAGGTCCCAAAAATCCATGCTGCACCCCAAATGAGAGACGAGTATGCTGATATAGAGACAGAGAGATGCAGATCATAGACTATATAAAGAAGTGGACTAGGGGAGTGTGACGTCACCCATAGTGTTCAGATCCAGTCGAATGAAGCTCACAAGGCTGGCGATTATAGGGGTGAATTTGGAGCCATGTTCCATATTAGGAATAGAAATGTATTTACACGCAAAATAGTGAAATAAAAACATGGTTCATGTAGGGTTAATATGAACATTTTAAGACCAAAATCATAACCTCTCTCCAGCAGTTACAGAGAGGGGGAGTGACAATTTTACAATGTAAAAATGTAAAAAATATTTGGAATGTGCCAGCGGGTTAGCTATGTCCATTTGTATAGACAGTCTGTGATGCAGATGTACCTTTCATGTCATTAAACCCATCAGATTCAATCCCGCTATTTGGTTTCGTCCACTCAAAGTCGTCATTTATCCACTGATCCACAAGTTTCTTCTTATTGTCTCTCCCTCTGGAAAGTTAAGTTTATTAAGTTCAAAACTATTTATTTCAAGAATGTGATCATGCATGTCTTCCTCTAGCTTACCGTGCTTGCTTTTGTTTACTGGTCCCAATATAGACAGTCAGAGCAATTACTGATATTAGCAGGCATGCAAGGGTGACACTAAGCCCTACATAGAAAGGAATCTTCTGTATGGGCCAACCGCAGTCTTGACCCAAATACCAGACTTTGTTAACATTGTTACACCTAAAGAGCACATAGAAGAATTAAGTAACAAATAAAAGTGTTAGAAGATAATTTTGTTCCATACATACTCGCAGAATGGTCCTTGGCCCTTGTATATGGTGCAGTATCCATTGCTGGAGCAGGTTTTTGGGTTTTTATGTTTATCGCTGCATACAGTAATGCATGTTACCATATCACCAACAGTTGCAGGTTCAAGGAACTCAGCTAAGCTGTCATTTCCAACAGCTTTTGCACAGAAATCTAAAAAATAAAATGTTTATTGTATTTTCTCCTCTTAACCTTGTAGCAGAAAAGGGGACAAACGGTAAAGAAGCACATACCTTTGAGATTTACTTCAATAGCAGTTACATTTGGTGCTTCCACAGGTTTATATACGCAGTCTGTTCAAATTAAGAATTGTACATGTAGCTTTGAAGTGTATAGTATCATAATATCATATAGGTCTTAAAGGTTAAACAAACCTGAGCAGTTGAGGAGCTCTTCAGCTGCACTTTGGACATTTTTAAGGCTTGCAGTATAAATATCAGAAGAGATGTTGTTTGGAACCAGCAACTCAACACTATGATTCACTTTCACTCTAAAACACATTGTTTTCAGTCAGACAAAAAGATTGAGAAATAATGCAACTACTCAGATCATTGCATGTTAAACACAGCCAATTTAAGCTCTACTTCCATTCATGAAGTTTGGTACAGAAGTGGATAATGACAAAACAATTAAAAAATATTATTTCAGCAACACTGTCTGCTTAACCATATGTCAGCCATATTGGACTAAAAATTTGCCAAGCATGACTCAGCAGTTTTTGTAAACGTCATACATTTACAAACTCCTTGTGGATGATTAAAATTATCCTGATGTTTGTGTGGTGCAGTCACACACTCTGCCTAAAATGTTTAAGTTTAGAGTTTGTAAAATGTCCCCATTTATGGAGCAAAGACGAAGAGAAGGCACAACAGCACCTCACAATTGGCAAGTGGGTGTAATACAAAGAGGTAAATTGCAGGGTGCAGGTGAGGGCTGGTCATTGCAGCTTGCAGCTATATCTTGTCTTGTTTTCTTAATTTCTCTTGTGTTTGTCATTTTAATCATCTCTACAGTCGGTTCTGGTTCGAGTGTGGTTGCTCGCCTGATGGGAAGTTTGGTGATAGACATTCTCATTTCACTTATAGAACATCTATCTATCTCTGAGATGCTACAGGCTTTTTACACCAATCGTGGCAGTAAATGTGGCAGAAGACCTTCTAGAAGAAATACTCTGAGATCTTTCAAAGGAAATACTTTGCAGGAATCAACCATTTCAGCACCAAGATATAGAAGCTTTTCTGTCTGCAGAGTACACCTGGAGGCTGCTGTAATGGCCTCTTCTCAAACTGCTTTGAGACAGGATCGGCTGACCCTACCTGCAGTGTGTGGTATTTTACACAACCCTCACTTGTGCATGTCTAGTTCATCGTTTACAATTTATTTTGTTGTGTGATTACAGCTTTAGTGAGTACTCTGTCAGCCGGAGTAATTGTAGCCAACCACCGGCCAACCAGCTCTTAGCATGTTAATAATAATTAATAATGAATAAAAGTTTTGTACACATTTTTCTGTAATAAACCTCTTTAACATTTAGTTTGACTTTGCCTCTGATTGTACCACCACCTATCCACACTTGTACCTGTACTTGTGTACTTGAACTGAGTAAAAGTAAATTTAAATTGGAATAAATTGGATACTTGGAATGCCCCTCCCTCTTTACTAGGTTACACCCAGATGAAAAAGTACAATGATAAAAATTTCATTAAATGATTGAAATACTCACAAATAATTTTCTTTTGCTTCTCGGTAACTGGCCAAGTGAGCTGCTAACTTTAACTGCAATCAAATTAAACTAATTAATGTCTCAAACTTATCATAGTGTTTTAAATGTATTGCTGTTACCTCTGCAACTGAGTTATGTAAGAGTCCTGGTGAAGGGCGTCCGCGACTGTAACAAGGAACAGCTTATCAAGTTATTTCCAGTATATTATAAAAAGTTGATATAAATGAATATCACTGACAACACAATTTTAATATAACTAATAATAGTAACATAATTCGAGACTTACCTCACTTTAAAAACCCGTACTTCTTTGAAGTGTGCCACTTTACGTTTATAATATGTTCCCATCTGAAATATAAGAAAGTATGCTTTCTGCACAAGTAGTTCAACAATACAGTAGCATGTCTACACACAATAACCCTTTATTAGACCAGGAAAAACCTTCACTGTCATTCTGAATCTCATCCGTCCTGGCCAAAAGGTAGCATTTAACTCTAGTCCTTTAAGGTTCAAATTATCACCAGATTTATGTGACAGTGTGTTACCACTTACCTCGGAAATGAAACTTTTAACAAAGTCTTTATATGCTGGCGAGTTGGTATTATCATATTTTGGATCATAAGTCTCTGTTAATTCCATATCAACCTCAACTGATCTATTTAATGTATCTGAAAATAAAATGATACATATGTTACTGTGTATGTACTCATGATTATGATGATAATATTGGGGAATACAAATACCTGGAGAAATATCTTCAACCAACTCGCACAATTTTCCACTAAATCCAAGAGTACATATGCAGATATGTCCATTAAAAGTCCCTCCATTTCGACAAATTATTGATGTTACTGGTGCTGATGTAGTAGTTGGATAGTTGGGGTCTGAAGTGGGGTTCTCCGTGGGGTCTGAAGTGGGGCTTGAAGTGGGATTCCCTGTGGGGTCTGAAGTGGGGCTTGAAGTAGGGTTCTCTGTGGGGTCTGACGTGGGGCTTGAAGTGGGATTCTCCGTGGGGTCTGACGTGGGGCTTGATGTAGGGTTCTCTGTGGGGTCTGACGTGGGGCTTGAAGTGGGGTTCTCCGTGGGGTCTGAAGTGGGGCTTGAAGTGGGGTTCACTGTGTGGGTCTGAAGTGGGGCTTGAAGTAGGGTTTCTCTGTGGGGTCTGAAGTGGGGCTTGAAGTGAAGTGGGGCTTGAAGTGGGGTTCTCCTGTGGGGTCTGAAGTGGGGCTTGAAGTAGGATTCTCTGTGGGGTCTGAAGTGGGGCTTGAAGTGGGGTGGGGCTTGAAGTGGGGCTTGAAGTGGGATTCTCCGTGGGGTCTGAAGTGGGGCTTGAGGTGGGATTCTCCGTGGGGTCTGAAGTGGGGCTTGAAGTGGGATTCTCCGTGGGGTCTGAAGTGGGCGTGAAGTGGGATTCTCTGTGGGGTCTGACGTGGGGCTTGAAGTGGGATTCTCCGTGGGGTCTGACGTGGGGCTTGATGTAGGGTTCTCTGTGGGGTCTGACGTGGGGCTTGATGTAGGGTTCTCTGTGGGGTCTGACGTGGGGCTTGAAGTAGGGTTCTCCGTGGGGTCTGAAGTGGGGCTTGAAGTGGGGTTCACTGTGGGGTCTGAAGTGGGGCTTGAAGTGGGGTTCACTGTGGGGTCTGAAGTGGGGCTTGAAGTAGGGTTCTCTGTGGGGTCTGAAGTGGGGCTTGAAGTAGGGTTCTCCGTGGGGTCTGAAGTGGGGCTTGAAGTGGGGTTCACTGTGGGGTCTGAAGTGGGGCTTGAAGTGGATTCTGTGGGGTCTGAAGTGGGGCTTGAAGTAGGGTTCTCTGTGGGGTCTGAAGTGGGGCTTGAAGTAGGGTTCACTGTGGGGTCTGAAGTCTGAAGTAGGGTTCTGTGGGTCTGAAGTGGGCTTGAAGGTGGGATTCTCCGTGGGGTCTGAAGTGGGGCTTGAGGTGGGATTCTCCGTGGGGTCTGAAGTGGGGCTTGAGGTGGGATTCTCTGTGGGGTCTGAAGTGGGGCTTGAAGTAGGATTCTCTGTGGGGTCTGAAGTGGGGCTTGAAGTAGGGTTCTCTGTGGGGTCTGAAGTGGGGCTTGAAGTGGGGCTTGAAGTGGGATTCTCCGTGGGGTCTGAAGTGGGGCTTGAAGTGGGATTCTCCGTGGGGTCTGAAGTGGGGCTTGAAGTAGGATTCTCCGTGGGGTCTGAAGTGGGGCTTGAAGTAGGGTTCTCTGTGGGGTCTGAAGTGGGGCTTGAAGTAGGGTTCTCTGTGGGGTCTGAAGTCGGGCTTGAAGTGGGATTCTCCGTGGGGTCTGAAGTGGGACTTGAAGTGGGATTCTCCGTGGGGTCTGAAGTGGGGCTTGAAGTGGGATTCTCCGTGGGGTCTGAAGTGGGGCTTGAAGTAGGATTCTCCGTGGGGTCTGAAGTGGGGCTTGAAGTAGGATTCTCCGTGGGGTCTGAAGTGGGGCTTGAAGTAGGGTTCTCCGTGGGGTCTGAAGTGGGGTTTGAAGTGGGATTCTCCGTGGGGTCTGAAGTGGGGCTTGAAGTAGGGTTCTCCGTGGGGTCTGAAGTGGGGCTTGAAGTGGGGTTCACTGTGGGGTCTGAAGTGGGCCTTGAAGTAGGGTTCACTGTGGGGTCTGAAGTGGGGCTTGAAGGTGGGATTCTCCGTGGGGTCTGAAGTGGGGCTTGAAGTAGGGTTCTCTGTGGGGTCTGAAGTGGGGCTTGAAGTAGGGTTCACTGTGGGGTCTGAAGTGGGGCTTGAGGTGGGATTCTCCGTGGGGTCTGAAGTGGGGCTTGAGGTGGGATTCTCCGTGGGGTCTGAAGTGGGGCTTGAGGTGGGATTCTCCGTGGGGTCTGAAGTGGGGCTTGAAGTGGGATTCTCCGTGGGGTCTGAAGTGGGGCTTGAAGTGGGGTTCTCCGTGGGGTCTGAAGTGGGCTTGAAGTGGGATTCTCGTGGGCTCTGAAGGGGCTTGAAGTAGGGTTCTCCGTGGGGTCTGAAGTGGGGCTTGAAGTGGGATTCTCCGTGGGGTCTGAAGTGGGGCTTGAAGTGGGATTCTCCGTGGGGTCTGAAGTGGGGCTTGAAGTGGGATTCTCCGTGGGGTCTGAAGTGGGGCTTGAAGTGGGGTTCTCCGTGGGGTCTGAAGTCGGGCTTGAAGTGGGATTCTCCGTGGGGTCTGAAGTGGGGCTTGAAGTGGGATTCTCCGTGGGGTCTGAAGTGGGGCTTGAAGTAGGGTTCTCCGTGGGGTCTGAAGTGGGGCTTGAAGTGGGATTTCTCCGTGGGGTCTGAAGTCGGGCTTGAAGTGGGATTCTCCGTGGGGGTCTGAAGTCGGGCTTGAAGTGGGATTCTCCGTGGGGTCTGAAGTGGGGCTTGAAGTGGGATTCTCCGTGGGGTCTGAAGTCGGGCTTGAAGTGGGATTCTCCGTGGGGTCTGAAGTGGGGCTTGAAGTAGGGTTCTCTGTGGGGTCTGAAGTGGGGCTTGAAGTGGGATTCTCCGTGGGGTCTGAAGTGGGGCTTGAAGTAGGGTTCTCCGTGGGGTCTGAAGTGGGGCTTGAAGTGGGATTCTCCGTGGGGTCTGAAGTCGGGCTTGAAGTGGGATTCTCCGTGGGGTCTGAAGTGGGGCTTGAAGTGGGATTCTCCGTGGGGTCTGAAGTGGGGCTTGAAGTAGGGTTCTCTGTGGGGTCTGAAGTCGGGCTTGAAGTGGGATTCTCCGTGGGGTCTGAAGTGGGGCTTGAAGTAGGGTTCTCGTGGGTCTGAAGTCGGGCTTGAAGTGGGATTCTCCGTGGGGTCTGAAGTCGGGCTTGAAGTGGGATTCTCCGTGGGGTCTGAAGTGGGGCTTGAAGTGGGATTCTCCGTGGGGTCTGAAGTCGGGCTTGAAGTGGGATTCTCCGTGGGGTCTGAAGTCGGGCTTGAAGTGGGATTCTCCGTGGGTCTGAAGTCGGGCTTGAAGTGGGATTCTCCGTGGGGTCTGAAGTCGGGCTTGAAGTAGGATTCTCTGTGGGGTCTGAAGTGGGGCTTGAAGTAGGGTTCTCTGTGGGGTCTGAAGTGGGCTTGAAGTGGGTTCTCTGTGGGGTCTGAAGTGGGGCTTGAAGTGGGTTCTCTGTGGGGTCTGAAGTGGGGCTTGAAGTGGGGTTCTCTGTGGGGTCTGAAGTGGGGCTTGAAGTGGGGTTCTCTGTGGGGTCTGAAGTGGGGCTTGAAGTAGGGTTCTCTGTGGGGTCTGAAGTGGGGCTTGAAGTAGGGTTCTCTGTGGGGTCTGAAGTGGGGCTTGAAGTGGGGTTCTCCGTGGGGTCTGAAGTCGGACTTGAAGTGGGATTCTCCGTGGGGTCTGAAGTGGGGCTTGAAGTGGGATTCTCCGTGGGGTCTGAAGTCGGGCTTGAAGTGGGATTCTCCGTGGGGTCTGAAGTCGGGCTTGAAGTAGGGTTCTCTGTGTTCTCTATGGGGTTTGCCTCTTGATTGCTATTTGGGACATATTCTATGAAAAACAGCAAAAGTAATAGTAAATGATATGGCTAAGCAAAGTAAGAAATTATCAATATTCTCTACTTTGTCTTGGCATTGTACCAATCACACTGTATTTATAAAGTGCTTTTCATACAAAAACTGTAACACAAAGGTCTTTACAATGATTAAAATCCATCCCACATTTCCTTCCACCCACCCACCCACCTACTAAACCCCCACAGCTGCCTGATCCCACACAACCAAACAACTATGACAGTCATATGCACACACTCTGGATCGAGCGCGCGCACATACACACACATGCACATGCACACATAGTATTGTAGGGATGGGACAAGATTTCTCAAACTCTTGTGAGAAAAAATTTATTTTCTGCAAACTTGAAAAAAAAAATCATGTGCGATTTTTTTTCACCATGTGTTTACAATAAGATTGGACAAAGAAAGATTTAAGTCTTGGTGAGTTACATTTCTTGAGGAGCTTTAGATACGAAGCAGTGCTACGATGACAACAACATAAAGTTAATTAAAAATGGTGAGGCCAAAACTGCACAAATTACTCTAAATAATGTTTTTTTTTTTTTTAAAGTCTCATCTGGTCTTGTTCTTGTGGTTGCAATCTCATGTTTTGTCTTGTTTTATGGAAATTGTGTCCCTTAAATTTAGCCTTAATGAGAGGATCTTGCCATTAGGGAAATACTGACTGTTAGAGAAAATCAGTTTTTGTGTTATACTGAGAGCACTCACTGCTAGCTACCTTGGTGAGGTATCAGGTACAATACTCCCTACAACACAGCCAGACTGAACTGCATTACATTGGAACAGACAAATTAAGTATTCCAGCAACTATATTTTGTGAGTCCAACAAAAAATGCTAACACTTGCCTTTAATCTAATGAAATCCAACAATAAAACCTATATATTTGTTACACTTTGATTAGACGACAGGCATTCTGTACAATGCCTAGGCCACAAAGAAACATTTATTTCCTACTTTTCCCAAAAATTCCAGACATATCCATTGTTAAATTTGCCAGTGGAAATTCACAATAACTTACATTCACAATAACAAATTGCTGTGATTTCACAGAAACGTTACAATAAGGTAATATGAAAATATTTCACAAATGTTTCACATTATCATATTCAAAATTTATATTGTAATTTATATTATATTGTCTTATATTATCATATAAGATGTAATACAAAACTGAATGATTTGTTTCATGTTAATGTAAACTAAGTAATTAATATGGAGACATGAAAGAAGATCCACTAATTATTTTTCTTATTATTAGAAAATTAAACCAGAGTACAGAACGATTGTTCTTCTTACCGGCTACACAACAGATGAAAAGGACTGAGACCAAGAGAGTAACTGAAAATCCCATCCTGTTGTTGTATTTCTGACCGGAGACTGTGGTCTTCATCCAGGATCCTTGAAATAAGTAAGACCATAAAATCAGATCATAAATCACCATAAAAAGTTTCGTCACATCACAACTTCTGTTGTCAAGATAAAACACAGATGCTAGGCCAACGTACCTTTGCACAGACCACACCAGCCCCTCCCTCCCAGCTGAAGAGACTTTTTTTTTTTTAAATAAAATAGAACAGGCAGTTTTAAAAATGACAAACTATCCAAACCTGTTATTTCCCTTAAATTATGTTTTTAGTAATAACTGACCATGACCACTGACACAACAAAACTACATGTGGAAATTACAAATGTGCAGTTCATCAGCAGAGGTGGGTAGCATAGCTAATTTAGAATTAGTACAAAGTCATGGTTCAAGAAATTACTCAAGAGTAAGAGAAATAAAGTATTTGGGTAAAGTACTTTTCAAGTAAGAGTAATTGTAGGATTATCTGTCTCTAAATAACATAAAATATATGAAGTGAATGTAATATTTACAAATATGTGAAATGTAAATCTGAATAAGCAAAGAGGGACCAAAATGGTCACCCTGCAAACTACTCCAAGAATTACAATCTTTAAAAAGTCACTAATTACAAATTATGTCTTTGTGATTAAATAGTCTTTTGTGATTTGACTTTTTTAAATGTAAACTTGTACTTAGTAAAATTCTATAAATCATTGTAATTAGTTACATATAACCAACTACATAACTCATTTAATTTCTACAAGAAAGATTTTCATAAAATGCTGATCTAAAGTGCTTCTAAAAGCGATGAGTACTTTGAGTAGTATTTTTAATACATAATAGTTACTTTACAAAGTACAATTTTGGCCATATAACACCTCTATGTCTCTTTGGAATCTTTCACACATCAGATTTCCACTGGTCTTGACCCTATCAAACAGCCCTATGAACAATGAACACAAAGTAGATCATGCACATATATAACATATATAATCATTTAGTTTCATGGTGTAAGTTTCCTTTTCTAGAAATGTAACAAAGTTGCACAATAAAGGATGGCATTGCACATAATTTTTATAATGATAGAGCTATAAAGATAAAACTCAGGTGTCATGGAAAAGCTACTCACTTAGTCATAAATATAAATAAGATAATAAAGACACACAGTATTTCAGTCAGATTGGACTAGTTTAACATATTTATTCAACAGATATGTGCTAAAATTAGCCAGATATACAGATAAATAGGAGTGATCAAAACTTCCTATTTCCCTCAAGTCATTTACAGACCTTGTTCACTGACTCAGGTACGGTCGGTGTTATAGAAGGAGCTCTCACTAAATCAACAACAGGCTTGAAGAGCTTTAAGAGCTTTAAGAGCTCAGTCATCATGAATACATTGAAAATACTTGTTCTTTCTTGGAATCACACTGAGTTCAGTGCCTGTCCTGTCAGTTTTTCATAGTGATCCCTGCCAAATATGCTGCTGCCACTGGCCTGCCTTGTGCATCCCTGTCATATAAACATTTTCTGTGTTGTCTTGGAAAGACTGTGTAAATCTACAACATAAATACATACATCTTCAGTAATCATGTTATTTATTAGCCCATGTATGCATCTTCTTCCACTGGTTTACAGCATCATTGCTTGATTAAAAATACCAATCTCTACTAAACTGTGCAGGTAAAAGGTAACTTGAAGCCTACCACTTCATGACATCACAGGGTGGAACAGAGCATTTGCAGCAATGGAGAAGAAGACAGACTAATAGGGTTACTCAAAACATGTGTGAATAGAACTAAACATAACTCCAAGTATGTTTTTAATGAAGTAATAACATTCTAGCATGCCTTATAGCTTGCAGTTATCAAATTTGTGTAATATAGGCTCTTTGAATATGGAAAGACATCTGCATTTTACCTGGAATCTGATGAAACTAAATGACCATTTTGATCCAGTAGACATCATAATGTTTGTAGATACAATGTTATTGCTTCTATTTTATTTCATTGATTTCCTGATACCTGAATACTTTATTGAACCCTCAATAAAGCAATAACAGAATTCCTGCTTTCATGTTTTAACATATTTCATAAACAGTTGGTAGTCTGCAGATTTGAACATGTACAAATCAATAGGACATAATTTATCCACAATTATATTTCACATGTTTTAAACCATACGGGATAGGGGCACAGCTATGTACTTAAGTCTCCTACCTAAGAAGTATGGGGAAGTAACTGAAGTAACTGAATACATGTAACGAGTATCCTGATTACAAATTTGTGTTACTTTTTCATGTCATGTTATTCAGGATACTGTTAGTTTTCTAAAATCAAAGGAATACACTGCAGTACTTGATCACACAATTTAGGCTTCAAACTGCACAGAATCAGTAAGAAAAATACAAAAAAGCCCTTGTGGTGAGGGCATGTGTGATTTTGACTTCTCTGATCAGTGATAAATAAATGCAGAACAAATGGTGAAACAAATATAAAGCAGGTTTTTAATCCTATGTTGCATCTTTACAGTATAATTTACATTTAGACAGTTTTAGACACAGTAGCTCACACATCACAATATATTATAATAACAAAGTTGAAACATATAAATGGTAATAACTTCTAAATAAGTAGCAAAAACAGCAAGAGACTGGTGTCAGTTAAGGTCTAATTACATAAATGTATATGTACAACAAAAATTAAAATACTGTAATACAAATATAGATGCAATCCTGCTTGAAACTATTCTAAATATTCAGAATACAGTACTCTGATTGGACCATATTACAAAATACATTTTAATCCACGTATTCAGTATTCTGTAACTCAATACATTTTGAAAGTATTCTTCTCATCACTGTGTAACTGCTCTCTCTAGTGACTGCTTTAGTGTTTGTAGCTGTACCTTTAGTTTTTAGATTTTAGTTGTTGTGGTATTGGGGTATTATAATGTGAGTACAGTACATTTAATGGATAAATATTAGCCAAAAGTAGCAAGTTACATAGTTCATTACTTTACTTTAGAGAGATGCCGTAGCCTAAATGTTAATCATTACTGATATTAACAGGCCTGTATTATTACGGAAATAGTTTATGAGTTGATTTTAACAGACAGAACAGTTATATTTGATCATTTATTGAACGTGATTGTCATGGATACAGTAACTATAAACAGAAGATTACTGTTGATGTAGGTATAGTTGACAGACATGCTTACAGTCAAAGGCACATGCTTATGAGAAGGAGAACATATACACTTATACAGTTTTCACTTAAATCATTTCTATGTCTGCAAACATAGTTCAAAAGACAGAATATAAGATGTTGTCATTAAAAAAGTCTATCATTTTTTAAAATACAACAGCTGCTAAGATAAAACATGATCCAAAACATTTTAAAATTAAAATGTAGTAGTGCAGGAAAGGGAATTAAACATCTGACTCACAAAATAGCATTGCACAGTATTCCAAATAACTCCAAAACCATTACATTTTCCATTGCCATGATTCATATAGAAATCCCTTGAAAGCTTATACAGTAAAAGTCCAGTGAAAACATAAACGTAAATGCATAAACTGAACAGGCCTAAATTAAAAGGTGCACTATGTAATTTTTTTTTTTTTTTTTTTTTTTGGTGGGGGGGTGGGGGTGGGGGGTGGGGGTCACCTGTTTGTTTCTATGGATATGACATTGCTCTGTCTGGAATGTTCTGCAGTATGACGTTAAACATCTCAACCAGACATTTACTCAGTTACAAGTGCTTTTATAGCTCAGAAATACCTAGAAAAACAAGCATTCTGACTGTGAGCGGGGTTGCCTCTCCACAGATGTGACCTGTAACTTGGCCTACTTTGGTCTCCATGAAGGTAGAAAGGTTTAATACCACACTGTGAAACATTCCAGACAAAGCTATAACAGCTCCAAGGAGAAAAGCTTTTCATGGACCCTCTGCCAGAAAACACATACACAATGAACCTTTAAACACTGTCTGCTTTGTCTCCCGTAGAGCTGAGTGCTAGCTGCATAGCCCAGATACTGAGGGGTCTCATGTAAGCCAGTGAGCGGTAAATGCCCTTCTCGCAGTAAGCCTCTGGAGTCTGGAAAGCCATGCCCAGACGCTCCCATACAGTCCGGTAGCAGCCCTCCGCCGTGCGCAGACCCTCACTACGCATCCCCTGGACAGAACATAGCACGAGAGCAGTCAAAAGTTTGGACATAGCCTCTCATTTATAGTTTTTTTTTTCTTTGTGTTTACCACTTAGTACTTTGAAACACTGAAAAAAAAAAATGCAAGTTACATTGACATTCCCTTTTAGTTACAGAGCCAGTCTGTAACCAATAACTGGATTCTCCATTCTCAACATTTCTATATTTTTTTTAAACTATATATTATACAAACAAACATGAATAGAATAAGGGTTGCATTATTGACCAAAAATAGAAAAATAATAATTACAAAAAAAAGAAGTCATTGGCATTTAACATTTCCATTTGTTAGGTTTACTGCTTTCTACATTTTTTATACATACAGAAAATATCAAATAAATACCCTCACTCTGCATCCCCTGAACTAAACAAAGCACAAGAGCAGTCAAACGTTTGGACACAGTTACTCATTCAAATGTTTTTTTTTTTTTTTTGCTCTTTATGTTTACAACGTTCTACTTTTTTTATATACATACAGTAAATATCGAATACATGGAGAAGATATATGGAATTACGTAGGAATGAAAAAAAGAGTTAACTTTGTCTTTTAACATTTTAACATGATGTACTTTACTGTTTTCTACTGTAGTTATTTTCTTTTTCTATTTTGTATTTTGAAATGTCTGGTGACCCTGTGTGATCTCAAAGCCGCCTTAATTAAAATGTATATGGGGATCTCTTATCTTTTATTGCAGATCCCTTATCTTTTACACCTCTCTTTTATTGCACATTCACATCAAAGATCTATTGACCTCACAACAGCGAATTTTAGCTAAAGGAGGTTGCCAATGTAATTTTACCTTTGACAAATGTCTGTAGCAATGCCTGCCTCATGCCCCTACCTCATGGATCATTGTAGCAGCCAGTCCATAGACCACTCCGATCCAGACTTCATCCGACTGGACACTGGAACGGTCAGTTACTCCCTCAGGACGCATGCCATTCACAGCTCCCATCTGACCTTCAGCAAAACTCATCACATTCAAGTCATACACCATTTTCAGTGCGCTGCGAATTTTGTCTATAGGAAATGCCTTTAGAAAGATAGAAAACAGAGTCAGGATACATGTGTGTGTGCATTTAATATTTGTCGATTTAATTGATGTAAACTCATAGGTCTAAGTATCGAAAATCAAATAGTAAACAATACTAAAATTAGTATCGAAACTAGATACTCATTTGAGGAAGTATCAATCCTAAAAAAAGTCACATTCACAGAACAGAAATTAAACTTTCCTGATTAGCTTTAGAATAACCTTGAACTGCAGCAGAACAAGTATAAAACCACATAGACTAGCACACGCACATTAGGGTGCATCATTTGCCCAACTTTTTGAAACATTTTTGAAAATCAATCTGTACCTAGTATCAATTTTGTACACATGCCAAAGTAAAGTTCCATGAGAAATTTTATGAAATTCTAGTGATGTCTTCTGGGTCCACCAAGCCTCTGGAGTTTAGTACCTGCAGAAGGCTTAAATCTGAGCTGAAAAATCAGCATATGCATAGCCCTAAATGCATTATTTTTAAAATTATTTAAGAAAAAATGATTTTTCTGCCAGAGCCTTATGGACGCCGTTAGGATGGAACATAAGAGGCTTGGTGGACCCAGTGGATATTATTCAATTGAGTTAATATTCCACAGATTTTCTTTTATTTGGTATTGTCACATTTTAAAATTGGGTACAAGTTCAATTTCTGACACTGGGGCAAATTATTAACCCTAACGCCCATGGACCACAATGAAACCTACCTGGGACACTGAGGGATTACACAGATAAGATCACATGCTAATATAAAAGAAAGTACTATGATTTAATGTTTAAAATCACATTCTGTGGTCTAAAGAAGGAGTGTTTTAGTCATCTTTGTGGTATCCCAATCAGCATTGATTATTGAGTCTATTCCTTAGGATCAAAAAGCGAGTTTGAAATTTTAGTATTATGACAACAGTGGGCCAGTGGTTCATAAAGTGAAGCACCAACTCAGGTGAATAATATTTAGACAAGACCACAACTAAATCTGGATTACACCAGGATAAAAAATGGATTGCAATGAATAGAGCCTGGGTGGTACCAATATGGTCGTGAATCGAAACTTTTGAAGACTTGCCTTGAATTCTCCCTCTCCTAATCCAGATGCCCTGAGGAACCAGTGCCCAGCGCATTGGTCTGACATGATACTGTTTGAATGGCTCCTCCCACTGCTGTCGTAGTTATAGTACTTGCCTGATGAAAATGTAAAAACATACATGAGGCTGGTATGAGGTGAGTTTAGAAATTACACCATTTTCTGATCTCTGTTATAATGTTATTTACTCATCACAAAAAACAAACAAAACCTGGAGTTGTATTTTGTTTCCTTCACATGTTTAACACAAACTCTGCATATAGGCTGAGCTCTCCTTTCACACAGAAAACACTTTGCTCCACCTTGTGATGCCATGTGGTAATACAGGAAGTGCTCCACTGTGTTTTGAAACTTCATACCCCTTCACTAGAATCATTTGGATGATTTCAACCCTGGAATTTCCATTCTCTACTGATATGTTATGGACCGGTAAAAAGTAGCCATTATCTTGACAGGTACCACTTACACTTAATGACATCACAAGGTGGGACAGAGCATTTTGAGCTTTGGAGAAGTAGACAGATGTAAATAATTAAGGGTTACTCGAGTGTAAATGAAACAATACAAAATTCCAGGCATGGTTTTGCGCAGGTAAGAACATTCTAACATGGCTAAAAGCTCACAAGCTTCAATTTTGTGAAATATAGGAGCTTTAAACACACAATTTCTCACCATTCCACAGATGTTTTTCAAAAGCAGAGCTGCCCCGGTCAAGCAGGTCTCTGTAGTGTTCATAAGAATCTTTGTGATCCAAAAGCGTAGCCATCTTACACATAACGCACAATGAGGCCAGCCAAAGTCCACCACAATATGCGCTGCAATATTTTTTATAAGAACGAATTCAGATCAATATAGAATCAAAATGGTCACTGTAAAAGTAACAGATTAAAATTGTTAAGTTTTTATTATGCCATGGACAGCCATCATTTTAAACCTTACTGCTGAGCATTATTCTTGTATTATCGCACAGGCAACCCATCTACAGTTAATCACAGTTCTATATCCCTACGCTGTGAGCATCACCATATCAACGGCTAAACAAATAAACTACTGTTAGGAGGGACTAGGTTTAACTAAAACAGAAATAACTAATGCTTTGAACAACCATGGAAAGCCAAAAAGTTATCAAGTTTAAAAGTGAACTACAGTATTTTCATTTGATGAGACTGTGGTAAAAGCAGGTTAAAATTGAATTACTGATGTTATTATTATGTATCATTGTGCTGCCTGAGAAATGAATTTCTTTTAGAAAAGTATGATCTATTCTATCTATCTATCTAGATCTAATCAACTAGGAGCTGTGTTTACACTGTTTGTTGTGTAATCCTTACATGTACTTTATGGGGAATATACTGTATATCTATATTGCCAATGTAAGAAACACAACAAGATTACTTGTTTTTGGTTTATATATTTTCATTCATAAACCTTTGTCCAGTTGACAGACTTCTATCTTCTTTTTTACCATAACCATTTACTGTTATTTAGCATTTATATTTTTGCTGTTATTATAATATACTGCGATGTGTTGAGCTACTTTGTCCAAATAATTTCCCTTGAGGATCAATAAGCTTGTCGAAGTTCAAGTCTTTTGTTGAGGATTTTACCTGGATGATTAATTTTATGATGCAATGTATGAAAAACCTGCCAACTTGGGGAGATCATTTTAAATGGATGGAGATTCCCACCTTGGTCCAGTCACTGTCCACCCATCGTACGTCTGGTCGGCATATCCAGAGTTTTCTATTAGCCCATCTCCATCGAGGTCAAACTTTTGCTCAGATTCCATCACTGCCTTGAGAACATAAACATCACCGGTGAGTACCAAAACCACAGCCGAAAAACATGCTCGAGTAAAGATCAGTTGTACTTTGCAGATAGGCCACATGTCCCGTAGATACTGGTTATCCTGGGTGAGGTGAAAGTCTCTGTAAACCTGTAGAACAAACTTGAGGTTCAAGTCTTTCCAATCCGCAGTGTCGTGAATGAGGTAGGCGTTCACCCTTTGCCATGGCTCGTCATCTGGGAACAGTGGTGGAAGAAATACAAAATTTTCTTAAAGAAGTACAGATACCGGACCAAAAAACAGTCACGTAAAAGTATCACATGAAAAAATCTCAAGTATTAACCCAAGTATATATATTTTTGTTTGTATCATGCTATGGACATGTTGAAAATAAACCCTCAGCCTTTTCAGCAGGTCTCAAAGAATAATAAAACGTACTTTTACTTATCAGTCCAGTTAAAACATGTAGCAGAGTAGAAAGCACAGATACCTTCTAAAATCTACTTAAGTAAAGAACAGATACCTAAAATTTATATTAAGTACAACACTTTACTACTTTTACTTTATTATGTTCCACTTAGGAATATCATATTTGTTAGTGAAATTCAATTTCTGAGCTATACCAGGGGCACTCACTGCCACCTCAATTAGTTTGGACTGTATCATCAGAAGTACTATAATACGCCCTACACCATGAGTTACAGAGCTTCAGATTGAGTAGTGCCTACAGTTAGCATCACACCCCCCAGGCAATGTTGATAACATCAGCTACAAAGTATCCACTGACAAGACCACAGGAAGAAACATTTAATCTAAGAATCTCTTAATCTAATTTAATTTAATCTAATGTAATGGCTCTTACCTGGGTCTCCAATGTCGTGAGGCACCACATTTTTTGCTTTGACGAGAGAGTAGCGTCCGCTCATCAAGTTTAGCCGCTCAGTTGGATCTTGTGTGACCACACTCCCGGCTAACAACAGAGGAATCTCATTATAAACAAGGAAAGTAAACCTGTCACCATAAGAATTACATCAGTGTATCGTTCAATATGTGATAGTTGGAACAATATATTTTTGGACTCAATATTTATCATGTGTACATTTTCTTTGCAATAATGAGGACATTTTTGTTATTCTAGATAGATAGATAGATGCTTTATTATCCCAAAGGAAATTAATTCTTGTTGTAATATAAGATCTGAGCTGTAAATGGTTGAATAAATAACTTCTATGGCTAATTATGGATTCATTCTGCTATTTATTTATTTATTGTATAATAAATTATACTGATACTAAAAATGGTTCATTGGGATTCTTCTGCTTTATTGTTATTGTGTCTGTGGCATAAAGTACTTTCAATATTATCGTTTAAGTTTATATTTCTCTTCTGCTTTAAAATTATTGTGAAGAAAAATTAGGAGGTAGAAAAAAAACAAAACAACAACACTCACCGATATCATATTGAACACTCAAAGCGAGTTTGGGCCAAAGCATAATCAGTGCAAAAGAAGCATAGAAGTGAACGTCGTAAGTGTTGTACATTCGATATTCTTGACCTGAGCACAAAAAAAAAGAACAACATTATAGTTTTTGTAGTTTTTGAGTTGAAGGTACACTATGCAATTTTTCAGGAGGAGGGTTTGCCAACTATTTGTCTCCTTGGAGATGCTGCTTGCTTGCTTTGCCTGGAATGTTCCACAGTATGCCATAAAATGTATCTATCTTACACTAAGTTAATTACAGGTATTTTTATTCTTCTTAAAAACATTCATTCTAATTCTCAGTGTAGAAGCCTCTCCACAGATCTGACTTGGCCTTGTAGCATGGCTTGTTTCTTTGGAAATGGATACGTTTAAAGCTGTGCTGTAAAAAAAGCAAAAACATCTCCATGGAAACACACATTTGGCAAACCCTCCAGAAGAACAGTTACACAGTGCAACTATTTTATTATGTACAGAAACATATGCACGTCAGCAAGTCAATGGCACTTTTTAATGCAGTTTCTGCCTGTACTATTGGAAAGGGAAACTGTAAAAACTATTATTACTGACCTTCTAAATATGCAAATCGTCCATATTCCTTGAGGATATCGGGTTGAGCTGGCAGCCCCCCAAACTCACTGCGCAGACCCCCGCTCACATCTGCGTCCTCAGGGAGCTCGGTCCAAACTGTCCCTCCATCAGTTACAAAGTACAACTCATTAAACAGAGCTGATTTATACCAGGAGGGAAGGGAACTGCAAGACACAAGCAGAGGTCTCCATTTAGACAAGAGGAAGGGGGGCCTTTTGCTCTGACAGTTTTAGACCTCACTAGAACAACAAACTCCTCTTGTTCACTAGTCCCTCTTAAGTCCCTTGAAATCTTTGCTCTAGTTGCCACTATAAACAATAATTTCACTCATATTTAAGATTAACCAAACGCTAAAGGCATTAGAGAGGATAAAAAGGTGCCTGTTCGCTGAACTAGAGAGCAGATTCCACAGGCTATCCATTGGAGTGTACCTGTCTTGAAGTATAGGTTTCTGCCACTCTTCAATTTTCTCCTCCCACTGTTTGTAGTGTGTTAGCGCATAGTGGCTGAGTGAGGGGCATGCATCCCCTTTCATTCCAAAATAGCGTGTGTATCTCCTAAAATAAAAGTCATTAATTCAGTTTTAGACAGTTTCACTTAATATAAGATAATATCATATCATTTATTGTTGAGTACCTGATGTGTTGCCTCTCTCTGGACCCAAACATAATTTTGGGCATGTCCCAGGCCAGACAGAACTCCAGGGAGTTATGGCCCTGAGGAGGCACAGAGCAGCCCACAGCCAGAGCTGCTGCCACTTTTTCCCCTTTGGACGTAGGGGGACTAGAGCCTAGGATTATTCAAAGATTTGGCAAACATGGTAAAAACATTTGGTAGACATGGTAAAAACTCTTTTACCAAAACATAATTTGGAAACTCTTTATTTTGAATCTTTAAAGTCCTTATTTGTAAATAGACTGGCTGATCTGGCCCTGTTGTATTCTTTACATAACACCACTAGATGCCATCGACATTACTGCTGTCTGCGATAAGCCTCTTTTCCTCTGGCATGGTTTGCTTGGGGCCACCTTGGCACGGGGCAGTTAGCTTTGGGGGGATGTTGCCATGACAATTGGCCCATGCCACTTTGGGCGTGACACAGGTGTAGCAACACACACCCAATGGCGTGACTGCTACAAGCCAGCTATAAAAGGGGGGTGCTAAAGGAGCATCAACACTAATCAACAGCACCACAACAAGAAGCGTTTACACACATCACGCTTCTGTTCATGAACATGCACCAACCACAACAGAAGACACTTCTGCCATCAAGCACAAGAGGCAGTGGCAACTACAAAGATGCAAATGCACAAAATGTTGCTGTGAGCTCATAGGACACTTTCGCTGCTGTTATTAGAGGCACGTAGCAGCCCAAGAGCTTGGTCTATGCCACGCAGTACGAGATGGTGGGATGTAACCAGCCATATAAGTGACAATCGTTTATTAAGAAATGGCCATAAAAATAAGATGGTAGTTTTAACCCAACCTATCGTGCAATGCAATAAAATGTAACCTGAGTGCTTAAACTCTTAACCAGAAGATGTAACAAAATTTTACAAGTCCTGTTGTGCAACCTCTGACTTTACTGGAAAAATCTGCCTGATTTTGTAAGTTTGAATGAAGGTGTGAAGCTTTATAAAACAATAACAGGATGTTTTATTTTACCTGTGGGAGAGTCAAGTCCTCCGTCAGTGATCAGGTCAGTCCACAGGCTGCTACAGGTCCCCTTTGGATTGAAGGCTGTTTGGTAACTCACCTCTCGATCTGCCTAAAAACACAGCAAGAGTTAATGCTGTGCTCCTGAGAGCTTAGCATTTACAGTGAAATTTAACATTGATTACTGGTATATTAAATCAGCTTCATGAAAAGGGCCATTGTTGTTTCGCTCAAATGTAGAAAAAATCTAAACCAAAGGATTTGAGGGTGTCTAACCTGTTCTCTGGCCGCTACACTCAGTGTGTAAGGGTTGGCTGCAGAACAGTGATGTAGCAGGACCCCGGACACAGCCTCTCCGTCCTTCTCCAGGTGAAAGGGCTCATTCCAGTGCCCCCCACTCTTGTCACTTTTATGGCCCGTCCCATTAACCACCGTAAACATTATGGAGACTTCCAGATCGTAATCATTCTTGTTCTCAATGTCCCACACAAATATGGCTGCTGGCAGACTTGAGTCCTGTTGGGACCAGGGCAAGACAATGTAATGTGCATGCAGACTTGATACACAACATAGTATTAGGTGTTAAATGTTTTCACTTAAAAACTTTCAAATAAAAAGTTGCTACTTAATGAATGCCTGTTTGTCTTCAAGCTGTATTTAACTTAAACTGTACTGAAAAAATTATAACCAGTGTATTTCCAGGTAATAATTTAAGGCCACACCTTTTACTTCTCTAAACAGATGAATCTGCAGTTGGTATATATACAAACCAATGTATATCATGTATATTTGCACTAACTCAGGTCTTGTCCACAAACCACAATCCTCAATGATGTTGCATTAATAAATTACCTTATAATCATGAGGGATGACGGGGGAGACCTGCCGACACGTGAGAGTGACATTTTGCCCTGGCAGGTGATAGACGGTCCAGGCTCTAGGGTACAGGGCGTGGTAAAAGGCATACTCTCCACAATAGCCCCAGTTCCAGCCTTGTAACGTGGGCGGCCGCTCCACTGACAACACCTGCTGGTACAGTGTTTGCCCACCACGACGCAAACATACTGTAAACTAAGACAGACAGAAATTTATCACTGATGAAGTGAAACATAAATGCACATTGATAAATATATGTGTGCCAATGATCCATATGTTATATATGAAGTTAAGTAGTTAATGTCATTAGCATTTAAGTGGTAGTATTCGACCAACACAGTTAAGATTCTTATTGAAACTTTAAATTATTAATAACAGGTGGTCCATTAGACTGCATGCCTGTGCAACACCCTTTTTCAAAACTTTTAACAGTATTTTCAGTTAATATAATGTGCAAAAGTACAAATCAACCAGTTGATTTTTTTTCATGCCCAATGATGATACCAATTGTTTAAGATCCAGAGAAGCTGATGTCTGATAACCTCTACCAATAATTGGGCAGATATGTAAGGCAGATTTTGGTAATTTAATCCAATTTATCACATTTGAATTTAGTACAAACTCAACTACAACCTTGTCTTGCTATGAATTGGAGTAGGGTAGTCACATTTTTGCAGTACTTGGCCTCATATGGCACATACTCCTGCATGAAGGCAGCTGGTTGATAAAATAAAATATCGGCCTCTGCTGAAGATTTGAGGTTGAGACAATAAAAGGTGCAAATTTGGCCCGATATATCAGCCAACCATTATCGCTCATGAAAAGATGTCTTGTCAAGGTTAACGGAAAGTCCAAAACTGGCAGACATCATGAATGTATGATTAGCAAATATAGTGGTTGATTATTTGCATACATTTTAATTGATTAGATTTAGCCATTACTGAATGTTAAACTTAAATTGTGTCCATGTTAACTCTAAAGACTGCTACTATAATATATGCATAGGCAGTTACCTATCACCAGAGTAAACATGGCATGCTGTTGGAGTAATTATTATCCTGCTGTCAGATATTTTATCTACCTGATTAGCTGTAACTGTTTTGTAGGTGTACATGCCAGGATTAAGCTGCCATCTACAAAACTCCCCTCTCCATCCTCTAGTGATGGTCCCTCCTCCAATGCCACCAAGTGGAACCCCTGTAGTTAGGGTAAACAAACAAAGAGAGATAAGCTTTTCAATGATTAAAGCAAAGTTATGTAACAGGTATATCAATGTATTAATGAGTCAAAAGTCCAGCATGATCGTAACCAGTAAAGGATGACTGAACATACCATAAATCTGTCGTAATGGCTGAGCTCCAAACATGTCGATAAAGGGGGCCTTCTTTTCCACTTGGGTCTTTTTGTACCACCATTTTAGATATCTTCGGTGAAAAGAGAAAGGATCAAAATATCAACAGAATCATATAGTTTGAAAAGGACAGAAGGTTAGAAATTAAATCTAAATTTAATCCTTTGCCATTTTCTAACAAGACCACTGCTATTAACCAAAAAACAAAGAAGTACTTAATAAAATTAATTTAAAATAATGATATTATGTGGCAGTAACTAAGGACACAGACTGGGACAAGAGTTTGGTAGGTTGGGTTGTTTGGATACTCACACCGAACCTGGGTGATGTAAAATATTAATAAGGCAAAGGTTTCAGGCAGCACTGAAGTCACAGCTGAGGTCACAGTCATTTCACTGTGTGTGCTTGCCTGAGGCATGCTCTACTCGCTACAGCTGCAGCATTGGGTCAAGGGTTTGATAGCATACTCTTCACATTGATGAAATGTTAAAAACAAAGTGACAAAGAGTGTTTAAAGTGAAAATGATTAGTCTTAGCTTTAGTCACAGTCTATTTAAAAAAAAGAGTCTTGAATTGCAATTTCAACGCTTTTCAAACATTTAACAGCTGTGTGTGTGGAACTATTATGTGAACAACAATACCTTCACATGAAAGACCCATCCTGGGAAATTACAATAGAGCCACATGCAAAAAACATGAATAGCCACACCAGCTTCCCACTATTGTCAGTGACATGTTGTTTGTCCCTAATACAGTAGGTATTCATCCTGAAAAATAGCTTCACTTTTTATCAGTCTAACTAATCTGTTCACACACACACACAAACACACACACACACAAACACACACAAACACACACAAACACACACAACACACACACAGGTGTAGAAACATGAGACTTGACACCGCCCCAAGGTACCTTTCTACACAATCCAGATCTAGGACCCTGTAGTACGGAGGCTGCTATAGCTTTTGCAGGTGTATCCCTATTATACTGTTGTTGTTTACATAATGTGTTTTAAATCCATTATAACTATTTTTAAAAAATAAATACATGATATGAACAAGTCTGATATGAACGTCTTACCTGATTCCAAGGCCTAGGTGTTCAAAGACATGGGACAGTGACACATCTTTAGCTTGAAAAGGCTTCCTCTTTTCTTTGAACTCATGTGCCAAGCAGATTCTCCAGCCCTCCTTGGGTACGCCATAGCCTGAATCTTTGGCCACATAACTGCTCATGAGGTCTGCGGTGGATTTCTCTCCCCAGTCTGTCATTTTAGCAGCAGTCCAGCAGTTACGGTAACCGGATTTAAATCAACTTGGCAACTGTGTAGTATCTAAACAAAAGTTCATCTCATCCCTTAGTGACCTCGGAGAATTGTTTGCTTCATCATTAGAAGATGAAAGCAAATGTCTGCACTGATGAATGTCGTTCTTGAATCATTATAAAGTTATCACAACGTAAGCTCTTAAGAGAATCCCCTCCAGCGGTGTGTAGATTCGTCAGTATTATTGAATGGAGCAGAACTTATCAGGAAGCAGCTCACAGTGGATCAGGTGTCTTGAATGGGACACCTATAAAAACAAATAGCGGCTGCATTAATATTGTTAAGTTTACCTCATCCCTTCTTCAGAACATGGTCTACAATCAAACCACAAGTGCTCCAGCTGGTTTAAGGTGTATCAGTTATATATCATACAATAATAATTAGTCCGAGGGGCCAACACGTCACTTAATATCAATTCATACCATTGAGAAAGTGTTATTTCGCTGCCCTTAAGGTTTCTCCAATCGAAGCCTGTAGCTGGCCGAAGCTGCTGTTAGCACATCGTTTACCTACGCATGGGATATTATGACCACAGTTTGCTCCTCCAGGCTTTTGCTAAACAAATATAATTACACCATCAACATAGCAATCAAACAATACACATAAATACCTTAACACCATGTACTCGTGTCTTGTTTTGTGTGTCATTTGCTAAATATATTACACACAACAAATAATATTGCCTGAGAGACAAATTCCAGGTTGAACTACTTTTCAGTAATCTATTGGGCTTACTGGGGCAAACCATTGGATGTAGGGGTGATTCATTTAAACTTTCATTTACGACGCTATTACATTCAACTTACTGTCAATGCGCCACTCACAGAAAATGGATAAATACTTCTGTAATGATGTATGTATTATTTTAATTTGAATTTACACTTACAATATACCGTAGTTTGCCCTTTGCGTCTTTTATTCTCCCCCTTTGTATTAAACGCATAAACGATAGTCCGGGCTGCCACGGTTCTAGATACAAATGGCTGACCAAAACATGCCCGGTTGATATTCTTTAGTTTTTTGGGATTAATAAGAAAGTAAAATGCAGTGTATTTAAGATTCCTTCTTTAACTACCGTAAATGCATCACATTCGTTTTTGAATGGTCGGGCTGCAGAACTTCATTATAACGTTAGAGTTGCTATTGTTTACGTTTACGCCATCTCCGGCTAGAGTGAAACTTGATGTAAAATTAACTTGTTCACTTTTTTCCCTTGCTTCGCCGGGTGTCTGGGATATTTACTCGACAAGGTACGCTAATTGTAAACAAACTAACTTGAGTCGACAAGCTCTGTCCACCCTGGTCCTGTTGTTAACTGCTACTTCTCTATTATTCCGTCATTTAATCTTTTTTTGTAATAGATGATTGAGGTGGTGGCTTCTATGGCTCGGGGTCCCGTGTTTCTGGCAGGGGAACTTATGGAGTGCCTCATAACCTTCACTAACCCCATGTCCCACCTCTCAACTTCTGCCACCAGGTACAGATGTTCCTTTAACTGACCTGTTAAAGTTAAAACGTGTGTAATTTAAACTGTGGTGTTTTCAGTGAGATGCTAGCCTGGGCCAGTGCACAAATCCACTGTCAGTTCCATGCAAGTGAAGGCAGAGTGGCCCTTCCACAGCAGGGCAACAAACAAGATGTCCAGGCTGAAAATGACACTGTCCTCATCCCAAGCAGAGGTTGTTTCATCTACAGAAGTGTAATTTGTGTTGTGTAACTTGTGTATGTTTTTTTTTTTTTTTTTTTTTACAATTTCCTTCCTCATGTTCCCATAAGGAGAACGAGGGCAGTGTGTGTTGGACACTCCACCAAAAATATTATTCTGTGATCTCCAGCTGGACCCCGGAGAAAGTAAAACTTGTATGTATTTCACCATTCACCAAGTTTATGCATTTTGTTAATTTACACACTTAGACTGAACCATAATGTTTCAGATTCATACACTGAGGTTGTACCTGTTGATGGCCCACCTAGCTTTCGTGGACAAGCAGTTAAATATGTCTACAAACTGACAATTGGCTGCCAGAGAGTTAATTCGCCTATCAAACTTCTTCGAGTTCCTTTCAGAGTACTTGTTCTGCAGGGTGAGTCTTTGCTACGAGACAAAGCTTACAACAACAGTTTCTATTCTTTGTATTTAAACATATTATACATTTTTATTTATCTATTTAAAGGCATGCCAGAGCCCCCATTTACACAGGATGAGGAGGTTTCACCCTCCAATCCATTCCTGGAAGAAGAAGACGTCAGTCGAAGAGATGCTCGGCCACTGGAAAGAGCACTTGACTTGTTAATGGTCACTACCTCAAGACGATGTCCTCGTGAGTCAACAATCTTTGTAATCTTGATGCATAAAATGGTGTGTAAAATATATGTATAGTGCAGTGAAAATGTTTTTGGTCTAGATATGTTTAATATTACTAACATGCGTGGAAAGGTGGCAAAGTTCTGCATCTTCAAGACAGTTTATCGACTTGGGGAAGACATCATAGGCACATTTAATTTTGCAGAGGGTGACATTCCATGTTTACAGGTATATCTAGATCCTCACATTTTCCCATTTTAAACCATAACTCACATTCTGTTTTGGATTTTCTCTTCTGCTTTTGACTGTATTTTAATTCTTTCCTCCAGTATTCAGTTAGTCTCCAAAGTGAAGAGGAGATTCAGCAGCAATATCAGCGTCGACCTGGACAGGGCACTAGTGTAACTGGACACGGCCGCCATCTAGAGTCATGCCTGCACACCGCCTCCAGCCACTTCTCCCTTCCCATTCCCCTGAATGTCACACCCGGCTTCAGCACAGATATAGGTATGTCCCACATGAAGGAAACACATCTTTTTGATAAGAAGTACTAGATGCCATTAAAAGGTTTAAAAAGGTTTATCTTAAAATGCCCATATTACATAATTTATGCCTATACTGGGCTATTTAATGTTGTAATGTTGTGTCCTCATTATAAAACAAATATATGGAGTTTAGTTTTGTTTCATTCACACATGTTCAACACACAAAAACTCAGCAAATTTAGGCTGAACTCATCTCTCAAGCAGGTAGTTTTCTTATAACTTGAAAACTACCTCTATATGACATCGCAAGGATAAGCTTTGTAGATGTAGAGCAGGGGTGTCAAACTCATTTTGGTCCGGGGGCCGTATCCAACCTGCTTTGATCCCAAAGGGACCAGATCAGAAATCTCATGGCATATAAACCCCAAAAATAGCAATAAGTTCAAATATTTGTGCAGAGAAACACAAATCTATTACAGAAATCTTTTTTAATTGATGAACTCTTTCTTTTACAAAATATTATAATATTATGAACAACCTGAAACTTTAAGAAAAATGTAATTTCAACACAGTGTTTTAACATTAAATTGTATGTAAATAGGAATAAGTCAATTTTTTTTTGGAAAATCCTGCACTCGGCTCCACTTTTCTCATTTTTGACATTTTGCTGATGAGGGTGTCACGGTCAACAGTCAAAACGATCGTCCTTTAAGAGCATTTGGAAAGAGACAAGTCTTCATTTGTGCTGCTCTGGTGGGAGGTGGTCACGCACAGAGACGCTGGAGACGCTGCTATGATAAGCACCGTGGAAAATACAATATTTTAAAAGAAAATATAATTAAAATATTTTAGTAGAAAATCAGCGGAGGGCCGGATCCGGCCCCCGGGCCTTATGTTTGACACCTGTGATGTAGAGGGACTAATAAATCAGGACTACTCAAACAAAACACAACTCTGAGTATGTTTTTGAGGAAGTAACAGAATTATAGCATGACTTAAAGCTCTTTTATTATAGGCACTTAAACATTTGGTAATACCTTCAAAGTTGATGACAGTTCTAACACACTAATATCTGACTCTGCAGTGACCCTGAGGTGGCGTCTGCACTTTGAGTTCGTTACTGCTCGAGAGCCAATGGAACCTCCGGTGGTGCAGCAGAACCAATCAGAGGTCACAGTTTGGTCTGGGGCAGAACATGTCGATGTGGATACTTTCAGCTGGGATCTGCCCATTAAAGTACTGCCCACAAATCCAGCCCTGGCATCTCATGTGTCTCAGTTCACAGGGACCAACAGCATTAACATTTAATTCATTTGACTTTGCATTGATTTATTGTGAATGCAAGATAAAATGAACAGAGAGATAATGGTATATTAACACTATATCCTTATACAGAATTATTTGCCTGTTCCATGTGCAATTCACAGCTGATTTTTACTGTTTTGGGCTGCTATTCATGTCTGTATTTATTTAACTGGAAACTCATGTTATTTCACAGATCAGTTGATGCTAATTTTGTGCCATCCAGGAATAAGATATAATTTAAGCAATTTTAAATTAAAACAACTGAATTTCTATCTGGTTGATATTGAAATGTTGGCTTAAAAAAGTAAGTCCAGTTTTTTTCGTTTTAATTTGTTTATAATATTTCACAGATCATGTTTCCTAATCATAATTGGTTACTATATTTTATGGTTTGAGACTGACAGACCTTTACATTATTTTATCTGAGCAATAATTGCAATTTGAGCAGAATAATGATGCAAGTCATCACTTTTGTTTTTATTTGTTGATTTCAATTGAAGAGTATTTAAACAGATCCACTGTTACATCTTACATATATTACAGTGTAAATTTGCTTACACAGTATTTACATTTCCTGGTAAATAAAAAAAATAATAATAATTAAAAAAAAACAACTTATGAAATCATTTTATTTGGCACAATGAAGAATAAAATAATTGTATAAAATGACTGAAATAGTGGCTTGCCTCCTGTAAGCGTGTTCTACATTATGGAAAGATTAAATACTTTTTTATGAAAGAGCTTGAATGATTTGAATGATTATCTAATAGCAGGAAAGCTGTCTGAAGCTGTTCTACTCTTTGAGCTGTTGCTGCAGCGGGAGAGACCCATGGCTGGGGTCCTGTAGGTCGTCAGGGAAACAGGGCAGCCGGGGGTCAGCTGTTTGGACCAGAGACACTTTACATGTGACTGACTCCACTCGAACCTCACACCACGCTGGGAAGTCCACTGGCCGATGGGCCCTAAATGCAGAATGACAGAAGAGAATTCAAAATCAGAAAAGGTAAAACTAAACACTGCTGATGCAGAATTGAAAACCTTAAAGAAAGCATGTTAATGAGATCTATTTCTGTCTATTTTTAGTACTGATGTACAGATTCAGATCAAATGAATTGAAAACAAGAATTAAAACAATACCATGCAATAATCTAGTTTCTCAGGTATAATGTCAAAGTTCTGAACACTTAACTCGTGTGCACTCTCAAAGTTATTGTTTACTGTAAACAACATATAGGCCACTAAATGGAGCACTGAACTGTTCCCTTACATTCTTGTTTTCTTTCATAACAGCTATTGTTTTAAACACTGTGTATATGTGCCTTTTTTATATTCTTGTGAATTGGAGAGCTTTCTAACACAAAGTATCTTAACTTACATCTCGCAGCAGCCCACCCCGACAGGGTGCAGACAGGTACACTGCATGCAGGTGTCATCCACCCAGGTTTCACCCAGTGCATAGTGTCTCCCTTCAAACATGCATAAGGCTGAAATAACAGGGCAATGAGTGACCAGATTTATCTTTTTTAATTTTATTGAATCCCCAGCATGTGTCCTACCTCTGAGGTTGATGTGACACTCAGTTGGTGCTGCGGATGCTCCACTGCTCCACAAAAGAAGGCTGACCACAGCCAGGGTCCAGTTGATGCCGGCAGGCTTCATCTCGTCTTGGTTCTGTAAGAGTCCAGGCTCTGGTCTCGTGTTCCTAAATTTATACCTATCCCGGGCGGGCTGAGCGGCGATGGCGTGGAGGAGTGGTCCGTTGCAGCATGTGGCCCACAGGCTTGCCCCGGTCAGTGGCGTATGTGGGGGAACGACTTGGCGCTGCTGTGGCACTCCGGAGATCACCTCGATGCGCTTCAATGAGCATGAACCTCCAAAGAGATAGAAACAATGACACATCCATTTGGTGACTAAGAGTAAGGTTCGAAGAGAGGAGAGTGTGTGGTTAAGGAGGGGGAGAAGCAAAATTTATGAGATGGAATAAAAACTGATAGTAATTTATAATAGGAGATTCTTTTATTACATATTTTCCCCCAGCTTAATCAGCTGGTCCTTTTGATTTGCATAGATACTTTCATATGTTTCAGAAGTTAATTTGATGACTTTTTGTGTTGCTCCATACATCAGAGCAGCGTAAAATACTTGGGACAAGAAGCGAAGGTGCATACATCCAGAATTTGTACTCAGAGGCCCCTCAAAGTTTGTGTGAGTCATTGTTGCCAAAGTGGAGCTCCAGATTGAGCATACAAAGAGAGTTAATGTAGGGTGATCCTACTGTAAATTTAACCCTAACAGACAGAAGTATACGGTACTTGAAAACTTTGTCACTGATTTATGGTTTTATGGCAGGATGGTGCCCTTTTGTTCCTTGGGTGTTGCTGACCTCTTAGGCCACTGGGTGTTGTACAACGCCGATGAAGTTCAGTCACACCCGACTTGACAAGTAGCTGTCGTCAGCCCCAAACACAAGAAAGATTAACACTATTAAACCAGAGGATTTTCCAATCTCACTCCTCTCAAACTTCACGGCATATGCTTTTAATTGGAGAAAGGAGATTTTTAATTGGTAACTGTTTGTTAGAGTGGTTTACTACAGTCACTATGAAGTCATATGTTAGGTCTGTGATCATAGCTGTCTTGTGATTTGAGCAACCTCTGGCAGAATTATATATGCACATACTAGTATCAGCCAAAGGTTTAAACACACCATTGCATTCAGTTGTGTTTTTTTGTTTACTTCTTTATTGTAGATACATACAAGACATCAGATACATGAAGCAAAATGTATTGAATTATGTAGTTAAAAACACAGACACCCTTTGGTTTGTTGACAGCGCTGCAAACCCTTGGCCTTCTCTCAGTGAGATTCATGATGAAGTCTCCTGGAATGGTTTTCACCTCACAGATGTGGCTTAACAGGGTTCATTGGTGGAATGCCAAGAGAAAGGACCAAAGGGGTCCAAACAAAGTGAGGCAATTGACAAGTAGTAAACAAAAATATGAAATGATTCAAAACATTTTAGATTCTTCAAAATAGCTTCCCTTTGTTTTGATAAACCTTTATTTTGTGTGCACTGTTACTTTAAGTTCTCACGGTAGGAAAGTCATGATAAAAGTAATTGTTACAATGCTTCATTATAATACATTTTTGAATGCCTGATTCAGCTCCTTTAAGAGAACGTAAGCCCCGCCCAGTTTTCTCCACTTCCTCCTATTTTTACCCAGACCACACCAACAGATCCACATTACAGATGAGATGATCAACGTTGTCCCATATAAACTCTGTGTACTGCACGGGTTTCTAATTCCGGTGATCAGCTATTTTCCCCTGAGCTGATCACTTCTGTAGCGGCTGTGTTATTGTGAAGCTAAAACACCAAATCATGTCCGGCGAGTGGACAGTCTCTATAACAATGTATTTATTGTAAATGCAGATATTTGTTAATATAATTTAATCTATATAAATATAATATCCGTTCGGCCCTCTGTACGACTTCAGGCAGTAAGCTGAAGAAAGTCTATGCTGATCCGAGGCCTAGCAAACACAGGCTCCAGGAGTCCGGGCTTTCATGGTGAAGTGGACGGGTCTTGGTTAAAATCCGGTGTTCTCCCGTCGGAAGATGGACACGGACAAATTTAACTATGTTTACAGTTGTGACCTGGATATCAACGTTCAGCTTAAAATGTAAGTTTAACAAATACGCGACTACACTGCAGTGACAATCCATCTTGTGACTGTGATGACAGGATGTTGTCCTGGTTTACATCTGTCACCCCCAAGGCACATGACAGCCATAGGCCTTTATAAAGAGAAGATTATATCATACTACTCTGTGTTCAAGTGTTTGGTCACTGATGGATATGTGAGAATTGGTCCCTAAAATATTGTTTTAATTTAATTGCATATTTATTGGCCAACTCAAGTTTTGTGGCAGCTATTAAACTGTCAAATCCAAAGTATTTTTTCCTATAGAAATATTGTGTCACAGTTGCCAAAGAATATTATGGTTGCCCAGTGAGGAGTTATATTCTTTTAGCTTCAAGCAATAGCACTGTGTGGAAAGTGTCATGGCTTTATTAAAGTCACATGCATAGCTCATGAGTTTGTAAATTGCATTATAAATATTAAATTAACCATCTACGAACTGTTACTTCTCAACATAACCATACTAGCATGAACAAAACAAGGATTTTTATTTTAGTACTAAAATCAGAAAACAAATAGACCAAGGCAAATGTTATAATTACAGCTTCTAATGACGTGTTATTTCCAGAGGCAGTTTAGAAGGGAAACGAGAGCAGAAGAGCTACAAAGCCCTGCTGGAGGACCCTATGCTGCGCTTCTCTGGCCTCTATCAAGAGAACTGCTCTGACCTCTATGTCACCTGTCAGGTGTTTGCAGAAGGGAAGCCCCTGGCTCTGCCTGTCCGCACCTCCTACAAAGCCTTTAGCACACGCTGGAAGTGAGTACACAAAGATTTACATTTGTCAGTTGCACATAGTACACTTTATTCACACATATGTAAGATGTTTTTTCCACAGCCCAGTTTCTCACAGGCCTCTGTGTTAATGATGTTTTTCTGTGCAGCTGGAATGAGTGGCTGCGGCTGCCAGTCAAGTACCCAGATCTGCCTCAGAGTGCCCAGGTGGCCCTCACCGTGTGGGACATCTACGGCCCAGGGAAAGCTGTTCCTGTGGGAGGAACCACTGTCACTCTCTTTGGCAAATATGGGTCAGTAATATTGTCCTATGGGGACCTTAAGACCGCCAACTGAAATAACAAAAACTCTGTTGTTGAATGTTGAGTTTAGTCTCAACCAGTGACTGTGAATGTGTTCATGTGATCATATTATCAAGCTGACAATGGGTCTTCATTCAGTCATGCTCACAGTAATACTTTTGTCTCCTTTCAGTATGTTCAGACAAGGCATGCATGACCTCAAGGTTTGGCCAGGAGTGGAGGGGGACGGAGGAGAGCCCACTACGACCCCCGGACGCACCAGCAGCAGCCTGGCAGAGGACCAAATGGGCCGACTGGCCAAGGTACGGTACCTGAGAACAATGGAGGAGCCAGCTACTTGAAAGGAGCAGGAGTAAGGTGACTGAGGATGTGATGAGAAGTGATAGAGGGTTAACTGGACATTGTTGGATGGGCTGCTTTGTCTGAAGCATCATTTGTTCCAGGGTCCTGACCTGGAGGTACTCAGGGATGTGAGTACAGGAGGAGTTGTGTGTGTCAACAAGACCAAATGTATTTGCAAATCTACATGTAGTAGATCTTTTCTTTTAAAGTCGTTCCTGCTTTGGAATAAAAGTAGATTAGTCCATTTGTAAATACATTTTGGCTTGACTGCTGCTAGAAACACTTGAATGTACATGGGACATGCCTATGTTGCAAAATCTACACAAAACATGTTTTTTTTTCTTATGAGCCATTAATTTGATATTATTTCTTCCATGGGGTGAGATGGTGAAGCTTATGTGTCACAGAGCAAAACTGTGGCTCTGTTTAATTACTTGTAGACAAGAAGCTATTATGTTTTACAAGTTCTTATTCATCTTATAAACACTAAACAACACTAAACTACAGTGCTGATTTGTGGGCATCCTGCTTATGGCTTAGTTTAAGCTTAACCCACTTGGACTGGCTGCTGAATCCTGGTGTGTGCATGTGTTCTGGTGATAATTGTTGGCCCCACCACCACCACTCGTATTCACCTCTCTGCTCCTGTCCCTCTATCCTTGTGCAGTTGACAAAAGCCCATAGGCAGGGTCACATGGTGAAGGTGGACTGGCTGGACCGTCTGACCTTCCGAGAAATTGAAATGATCAATGAGGTGGGGGCATTTTTATATGGCAAACACAAGTGGCTGTCATCATTTTAATTGTTATGATCTTTTGTAGAGCGAAAAACGTAGCTCTAACTTCATGTACCTCATGGTTGAGTTTCCACGCGTCAAAACAAATGACAAAGAATACAGCATTGTTTATTATGAGAAGGTCTGTTTTTCTTAACCAGCTCATATTTAACTTGAGTTTTATTCATGAAATGAATGAAATATTTTTGGTTTTGACAGGACGGAGATGACACAGCACCTGTTATGACCAGCTGTGAGATTGTCAAAGTCCCTGACCCACAGATGGGGATGGTGAAGAAATATTCACTATGACTTTTACATTCTGAAGGTTGGGTATGACTTTTTATGATCTTAATCTTAATCCTTCTTCCAGGAGAATCTAGTAGAGAGTAAACATCACAAATTGGCTCGTAGCCTGCGCAGTGGACCCTCAGACCACGACTTAAAGCCCAATGCTGCTACCCGAGATCAACTCAATGTAAGAGACAACAGTTCACTAACAGTCCACTAATGTTCACTACAGCAATGTTCAGTACAGTTCACTAATGTAATACTTTACTCCTTCAAAATAAAAGACTAAATGGTTTATGACTATCACTGACAGATTATCGTGAGCTACCCCCCAACCAAACAGCTGAGCTCTGAAGAACAGGATCTAGTGTGGAAGTTCCGGTACTACCTCACCAACCAGGAGAAGGTGGGTTCTCTGGGTCTGAGATTAAGAAGTACATTATACTGTGCACTCTTTGAGTAGTTATGAACATGTCTCCTGGTGCAGGCATTAACAAAGTTCCTGAAGTGTGTGAACTGGGACCTGCCTCAGGAGGCCAAACAGGCTCTGGAGCTGCTGGGGAAGTGGAGGCCGATGGACGTGGAGGACGCTCTGGAACTTCTGTCCTCACACTTCACAAACCCCACTGTTCGCCGCTACGCTGTCACGCGCCTGCAGCAGGCAGACGATGAGGTTCTACCATAGTGCTCTTTTTATTCATTAAAGAAACACTCTGTAACTTTTCTTGTGGGAGGGGGGGGTCCATCACCTGGGTGTCACCATGGAGATAACGGCAGGGTGGCATAGTGTTTTTACTGTGAGCAGGCTTGCTTCTCCACAGAAGTGACCTGTAACTTAGCCTGGTGGAGTTCCTTGCTTGTCTCCAAGGACATGGATAAGTTATATGTCATATGGTGGAACATTTCAACAGAGCAATAACATCTCCATAGAGACAAGGTGGTGGACCCCTGTACAGCTTCAGTATGTTAACTTGGACCTGACATTTTCTTTGTCTTCATATTTATTTTTAGGATCTGCTGATGTACCTCCTGCAGTTGGTCCAGGCTCTTAAGTACGAGAACTTCAGTGATATTCAAGGAGGCCTCGAGCCGGGCAGCAAGAGAGACAGCCAAGGCCTCTCTGATGACTCTGCTCTGGACAGGTCAGTGCTGTGTCATCTGTCCAGCTGGACCAGAGATATAAACTTGTACCTCCAGTGGGGCTCTTTTTTCAAATACTTACAGCTTTCTGCAGAATTAGATTATTTGTCTTTTAAAGAAAAATACACAACGCTACAGTGCTACAACTCAAAAGAGGGCAAAAACAAGGAGAAAATACTACTCACCGTTTTGAATCTGTTTTGAGATCATTGTTGTTTCCGTTGGCTTTATTTTTTTTCCTAGTTCCCAGATTCTTTCAGCTCCATCGGCTTCTGCGGCCCCACAGAAGGGCAAAGATGGAGGGGATAGCGAAAATTTAGAGGTAAGACACAATAAATTGCTAAATTAATTTACTTAAATTATGTTCCTTTTTATTTTTATTGTTTATTAAATCTATTTGTGCAATATTAGGAGCTGACAAATGCTGTTGAATGTAATCAAATACACAAACCTCCTAAATAAATATTTGATGTACACATTTTGCTGAATTTTCTAGTGTCTGTTTTGTTGCAGGACCTATGCACATTCCTCATCTCCAGAGCCTGCAAGAATTCAACTCTTGCCAATTATCTATACTGGTGAGAACTAAAAGAAAAGAAAACTTAAATTTGCCACTGAATATAGTAAAAATAGTAGTTTGTGTATTCAGGTATGTGATAGTGGAGTGTGAGGATCAGGACACTCAGCTGAGAGATCCAAAAACACATGAGATGTACCTGAATGTGATGAGGAGGTTCAGCCAGGCGCTGCTCAAGGTCTGATCAACATTTTTACTTCCTCACCGTCACAATTATATTACAATTATGTCATTACGAAAATGTACTCTAGTAGAAAATACTTAAATTCTGAGTATCATGGTCTGAGTACTTTACTTGTTTACTTATAGGTTTACTTATAAAGACTGTAGATTATTTGACTAGTTTCAGTTTAAATCTAACTTGTATTTAAAGGTACTATATTATGCAAAAATTGACTCTTGTGAGCTTTAAGCCATATTAGAATGTTGTTACCGCATCAAAAACATATTTGGACTTGTGTTTTGTTGCATGCACACTTGTTTGCATATTCAGCATTAGTCCGTCTACATCTCCATAGCTCAAAATGCTCTGCTCCACCTTGTGAGATGTCAAGTTAACAGCTACCTTTTATCTTATGTTTAGTAGAGCTTGACAATTCCATGACATCACAAGGTGGAACAGAGTGTTTTCAGTTTGAGAGAAGAACTCGGCCTAAATATGCAGAGTTTGTAGTTTAAACTAAACACAACTCCAGGTATGTTTGTGATGAGGAAACAACTTTATAGCATTGATCAGAAAATAGCGCAATATAGACCCTTTACTTTATTCTACTTGAATAAAAACATTTCTAAAAATATTTATTTAAATAAAACTCCTACAAACTCCTTAAATTTAGATGAATATTTTAAATTCAAGTAGTCATTTTATCCTCAAGTCATTTTATCCTTTTATCCTTATACATAATCATGTTTCCTATCTACTACACTTTCTTTATGTTATGTCATAATAATAGTTTATTATTGTTTCCTTTCAAAAGGGCGATAAGACAGTGAGGGTGATGCGGTCACTGTTGGCAGCTCAGCAGACCTTTGTGGACAGACTGGTGCAACTGATGAAAGCAGTGCAAAGAGAAAGTGGAAACCGTAAAAAGAAGGTACTGACTTTGACTTAAAAACATTTAGAACAGTGTATTTGCTCCGTGTTTGTTTCAGTTACTCAAAGCTTATCCTTCCTGCAGACTGAGCGACTGCAGGCTCTTCTAGCTGACAATGAGAAAGGTCAACCTCTCAGAAATAGAGCCCATCCCACTCCCTCTGGAGCCTCAGGTCCAAATCAAAGGAATTGTCCCAGAAACGGCCACACTCTTCAAGGCAAGGCCCAAAAAGCACTTCAGAAATCATACCAGCAAAGAAAACTTGCTCTGTGTACTATGTAACTTTTTTGTTGGGGGTCCATCATCTGTTTGTTTCTATGGCTGTGTCACTGCTCTGCCTGGAATGTTCCACAATATGACATTAAACAGGTTTATCTTACATTAGTTCAATTACAGGTGGTTTTATGTTTCAGAAATACCTCGAAAAATGGGCATTCTGACTGAGTGGGGTTGCCTCTCCACAGATCTGACCTGTAACTTGGTCTGGTTTAGTCTTGAAGATAGAAAGGTTTACTGTCATACTGTGAAACATTCCAGACAAAGCGATAACATCTTTACGGAGTAAAGTAATTGATGAACCCTCAACCAGAAAAGTTAGACTCCTTTACTCATTTGTCCTTTGCCCTTTTAATCTATAATAATACAGAGACGTCACTTCGCAGGGCAATAATTTTGACAATTTTTGTTGAACTAACCTCAAATTTTCACAGAATGTATAGAAACAGATCAAGATTTTATATTTAATGTTTTATTTTTTTATTTTTTCAGGTTGAGCCATGTCGTTCACTCCCAAAGGGAAATCATTTTGCGTTTTGGAAAATCAAAAATTTAAAGAGGAAGGCTGCTAATGCAGGGCTAAAGGATCTGATATGCCAAACGTCATTCAAGGAATTTGGGTTTGCAAACGTGTTCTCCTTACGGACTTTTTGCGGCTTCACAAGAGTTTTTCATGAACTAGCTCGGCCTTCTATTCTGATGTTGATGTTGATCTACCAGATCCTTTAGCCCTGCATAAGCAGCCTTACTGTTTACATTTTTGGTACCAAGTCCAAATTTGTTTTCCAGTTGGTGAAGATTTTCCAAATTTTGCTTTGATGGTGCACTGCACAGTCTTGGGTGACTGTGTCCAGGCGTATTCAAAGATGCAAAATGACTTCTTTTTTTAAGGCTCAACCTGAAAACAGATAAAAAATAAAACATTAAATATAAATTCTTGATCTGTTTCTATACATTCTGTGAAAATGTTTGTTTATTTCAACAAGAATTGCTAAAATTGACCTGCGAAATTATGTCAAATTTTTTGGGACACCCTATATATAAATAAATTGCCTTTTTTTTAATAATCTCTCTTTCTTTGTTACCTACACATGCACACACACGCACCAACACGCAAACGCACACACAGGTAATACTCCTACAATGTACCAATTTTACCCCCCTTCTCCCCATTCTTTTGTTTGCACACTCTAAATTCACCCCAGTGAATATATTTTTGCACTATTTGTTCACCTGGTGTTTGCAAATTTTTTAAAAATGTAAAGAAATCATACCAGCATCAGATCAGTTGATTTGTTTTGATAATTGATTTGAATAGATTTTTTTGTTTGTTTACAGAGTGCCTTGATGCCAGCAAAGTTGATTTTCAAAGCTGAAGATGGAGCAATGTATCCTGTCATCTTTAAACATGGAGATGACCTTAGGCAGGATCAGCTCATACTTCAAATCATTTCTCTCATGGACAAGGTATGTATTTACTTTTCATACATCATAAAGGTGCACTGCGTAACATTTCTAGTAGAGAGTCAGCCACATGCTTGTCTCCATGGAAATGTTATTGGTTTGTCTAGAATGTTCCACAGTATAGATTAAAACTCTAAAACCCCCATCATGAGGGAGACAAGCAGGTAACTATGCTACATTACAATTCAGATCTGTGGAGAGTCAACCCTGTTCAAAGAAAGACTATTTTTGAGCAATAAAAACACCCATAATGAATAATTGCTAGATTGATATGTTTAATGTCATAGCATGGAATATTACAGGCTAAGCAATAACATCTTCATGGAGACAAGCAGAAAAGTTGCGCAGTGCACTTTTAAATAAAATTCATAGGTCATAAAAAATAAGGGAAAGCTAACAGAATGACTATCTGTTGTAGCTGTTAAGAAAAGAAAATTTGGACCTGAAGTTGACTCCGTACAAGGTTCTAGCCACCAGCACAAAACATGGTAATGGAAACATAACATCCTTAACACAATATGTATGTTTATGTCATGAATAGGGGTGGGTCAATATAAGTTTTCTTCTTCTCACTCCTTTTAGAAAAATCTGCTTTTCTGTTGTTTACAATGTATATGATTATTTTCTCTCTTGGCACAAACTTGAATATAAAAATCAATCAATAATAACATTCAAATTGTAATATATTACAATTTTATCCCTCTTTAGGTTTCATGCAGTTTGTCCAGTCTGTACCTGTCGCAGAGGTCCTAGCAACTGAAGGAAATATTCAAGTATGTCTTATGTTCATGTTATACGATATTTTCATGATATTCCTCTCATGGTATGATATTCTTTGCGATAATTTGTGGAGGCTAACCAAATTGTGTATATGCTACTTTTCTGTCATTATCAAAAAATTATGAGATTTAAAAGTGCTTAATAACAAGTATTTCATCATGCAGACACAGCAAAGGATTGTGGTATGTGTAGGTCTCTCTCGTTTAGTTGATGCTACACCATAACTATGGATTTAAGCAAAGAAATTTGTAATTCGATATATTGTGATGACCCATGATATTATTGTGAGACTTTTGAAGATACGATATCACGATGTTCTGGTTATTGTTACATCCCTAGTTCATGTTGTGTATTTATTTAAGTTCAGTTTATTTGGACTTCCTTTACATTTCTTTACATTACATGCTAGGGATGGTACAAGCTCTCGTGCCACACGATGTCGCAAGACGAAATTGTTGCAAGATCGTGCACACATCAGAAAAATTATCTTGTGAGATTTTTTTAGTTGGTTTGGACAAAAATAGAGTTACATATTAGTGACATAGTTATTACATTGCTTATAGTTCCAAAAAGCAAGGCTAGAATGGAAACAAAAATATCAAATCAAATAAAAGCGTGAGGCCAAAATTGGAAACTGAACCACACAATTTATATGTTGGGAATTAAGTTAAAATCTCGTATCTCATCTCATCTCGTCCCATCCCTATTACATGCATACATAGAAGCATACATAGCCCATCAGCACCTACACCCATACAGTTTCTTGTTTACAGCAGAGAAACTTTTCACTGTATATTATTGTGCATATTATTATTCATAGGCACATGCACATCATTTTTATTGTGTTGTAGTCATTGTGTTTTTAAAGAGGACTTTTTGTCTGCAGAGTTTCTTCAGAAAGCATGCTCCGAGTGAAAAAGGGCCGTATGGAATCAGCCCAGAAGTGATGGACACATACGTCAAGAGCTGTGGTCAGTGTCTGCTGGTTTATTTGAAACTACTGTTGTTACGATACTGAAATTTCAAACTTGATTTCAATACTAAGGAATAGACAAGAAACTTAATACAGATTCTGATACTGCAATGATAATAATGAACACTTTCTTCTGACAATAGAATGACATTTTTAACATGACATTCATAGTACTTTCTTTTATCTTACCATCTGGTTTTATAATCTGTGTAATCCCTCAATCGTCCAGGTAGTGGTCCATGGGCATATACTAGTCTATGTGCTCTGATACAACTCAAGATCATTCTAAAGCTGTTCAGGAAAGGTTCATTTTTGTCCAGTTCATGTGAATTTTTTAGTGTTATTACTTCAAATGAGTAGTTTTAATGTTGATTAGTATTTGATTTTTTATACTTTTGACAACTCTATTTGAAAATACATTTACTTATTTCTAAAGTACCAAAAATATGATATATACGTTCTTAACGTTTAGGAAGGATTTCATATTAAACCAAATTTCTTATTTCCAGCTGGCTACTGTGTGATTACCTATATCCTGGGAGTGGGCGATAGACACTTAGACAATCTGCTGCTGACTAAGACTGGTAAACTCAAAACACTAAGCATGTTTTCAGTATTCAAACATTGTGTCTGTAGGGTCACACTGTGTGTTTTACAGGCAAGCTCTTCCACATAGACTTTGGCTACATCCTTGGCAGAGACCCCAAGCCCCTGCCCCCGCCCATGAAACTTAGCAAAGAGATGGTGGAGGGGATGGGGGGCATGCAGAGTGAACAGTACCAGGAGTTCAGGAAGCAGTGTTACACAGCCTTTTTGCATCTCAGAAGGTAACTGCATTGCATTGCACTGTAACTATGCATTTTTTCAGTACAATTTTTTTTTTTGTTTGTTTGTTTGTTTTGGTTTGTTTTTTTGAATCCAGAGCCAATTTAGATAATTTTCCCCAAATTTGATTACTCTCTAACAAACAAAAAATGTAAACAAGTAGGTGTTAGTTTCAGTGTAGTGACATATGAATGAAACATGGTGAGGAGAAAATTCAGTTTGTCGAGTGGATAAAAGGATAAAAGCGAAAACGTCTTCAACCAAACTAACTTTTGACTGAATTTTCTCCTCGCCATGGATTCTACCTGGACGACTGAGGGTTTCTTCAAACCGAAACATTTTTCTTTTGCTATACTTGAAGTTACTGAGTTACTCTATGCCTTACACAACACTACTACATACGCTGACAAAAATGTAAAAACTCAAAAAAAAAAAAAAAAAAGGATTTTAAAACATACATTTTCCGGAGCCTTTGATCAATACGAGCGTTCATGTCTCAACTCACCTGCTGTAGTGCCACCTAAGTCATCTCTTTCTGCTCAGATTGTGTTCATGTCTAATTTGAGCATCAGAGCTTCTAAGAGAGTAGTGCATTCAGTTAGCTTCACACCCCCAGAGAATGTTGAGGACAGCTGCAAAGTATCAATAGAAACTAGACTTGCTTCATTAGCTGTAGAACATGGATATATTATACGCACCTCTGCTTAATCTGCCTAATACTTTACAGGTACTCCAACCTGATTCTGAACTTGTTCTCTCTGATGGTGGATGCCAATATTCCAGATATTGCTCTTGAGCCCGATAAGACTGTCAAGAAGGTGAGAGCCACAATTTCACTGCACTAACTTTTGTCTATTAATAACAGTCATGATGATGATGGTGATGGTAGTAGTAATAGTAATAATACTAAATAATAATAGTAATGCCTTTTATTTATATTGTGCTTTTCAAAACATTCAAAGACACGGCACAAAGAATTCATTTAAGTATACTGTTTGTCGGCTATTGTTTTACTGTGTGTGTCAGTGTCTTTAAGAGAATATAGGCATACGTATAAAAGCAGGTTAAACATTAAAAAAATAGATGCGTTTTAAGTACAGGTGGAGAGTTCAGCCATTTCTAACTATTCTAGTTCTACTCATATGTGTTGGGTTTACGTCACCTGCCGTTATCAGGTACAAGACAAGTTTCGACTGGACCTTTCTGATGAGGAGGCGGTCCACTACATGCAGAGCCTCATCGATGAGAGCGTGGGAGCCCTGTTTGCTGCAGTGGTCGAACAGATTCATAAGTTTGCCCAAGTATGTTTTCACTTTTTACCACAATATTAAAATAGAAATTAAAGTATTGTGTTCTAAACTAAACTTAATATCCCTGTAGTACTGGCGCAGATGAGCTACTGAGGTCAGTCATGATCAACAAAAGAATCTGCAGCAGGAAGGGGTCGGTTGGGCTCTGACCGATGCCATGTTCAAGGCCAAGAATGCACTGCCAACCTTCACTGCAGATAAAACAATAATGTATGTGTTTGCATTGTATATATTATGTATATTAATTATTGATTAATAAGGCCAAATAAAAAGACTTGAAACAATATATTTGTGGACAATACATTGTGCTACACTCAGTGTTGCTGAGAAGACCATCTGTGGTCCACACTGGGGGTAAAGCTAACCCCACAGAGAGCAGTGAGTCAGAGCGGGTGACTAAGCATTTCCTGCTAAAAATAGTCAAGAAGCAGCCAGAAACTATACATGTGTTCTGCCCCATTAACGTTTATGCCATAGAGAACTACACAGGGCACAGAGAGCAATGCCCATTCAAGTCCAATGGTGGTGAGGCCTTTAGTAACATACTATTGTGTTCTTGATGCAGTTGGTCTCATTCTGTGTGGGTAAAATTACTAAAAACACCAAACGGAGATTAGAAATTAGTTTTGTTTATTTTAAACATCTCTTTAACAACTGAATCCATAGTTTGTGTTGTAGTGTGGAAATGTTTTCTTCAGTTTCACAGATGGAGCTTCTGCACAGACGGAGTCAAAAAGTGGTTGGAATCATACTTAAAGTTCCCCAATGTTGCAGAAAGAGTGCAAACCCAGCAAAACAGAGGCAAACTGAAGCCATCAGCCCCAGAGCAAAGGCAGTGGTGAGTCAGACACAAACAAACTGATAGAGCGAGGTCCACGTGTGGGGCTGCACGCGCCTTTGGACAGGCGCTGGAGCAGAGAGCTAAATGAACAGAAACTCCTGGCAGAAACAGTGGAGCGGGGGCAGATACAGAGGAGAGCACAGGGCACCACTGTTGCTGGAGAGGCTCCTTCATTGGCATCATGGCTCTGTCAGAGGAACATGCTCAGAACACCAAGAGACATCCAGAAAGATGTTCAAGCCACCTCAGCTGGCGCCTCTGGACGTGGAGGAGGACCAGCTGTACTAAAATTTCCTCTCATGCGAACCAGCTTATCTCTAAGGGAGAATCCATCCACCCTTCAGAGGAAACTCATTTCAATGGCTTTTATCCACGATCTTGTCCTTTTGGTCATTACCCAAAGCTCATGATCACAGGTGAGGGCAGGAGCGTAGATTGACCGGGTAATTGAGAGCTTTGAATTTGGACTCAGCTCCTTCTTTACCACAACAGATCCACCAGTCCATCTCACATCCGCCCGAGATCATGAACTCCGTCATTTGGAACAAAGACTCTCCTCCACCTGTACTCATCTCTGCCAAAGGAATCAGCCCATCAGCAATTAAACAGCAATTCAAACTTTTAGAACGTTAATATACAATAACATGTAATCCAAAAATGTTTTTCAATTTACTTTTCCATTCCATTACAACAAATGCTGGTCTATATAAGGCTTAGTTGACAAGTCTAATGCCTTCATAGTGACTAATTGTGCTGCAGTGTTGTTTTTCATACTGTCAATGGTCCCACCACTGTCCCAGTACAGAGCCCTGGACTGGAGCTCCTTTGAGGTGAGCCTGGGTGAGGTAGGGGTGGAGTGCAGACTGGAGGTTGAGGCGGACTCTGAGGACTCTTTATAACTGACTTCAATGTGAACATCCTCAAGGTTGACAGGAACCATGGAGAAGGGGACCAAGGAGACGGGTTCGTGGATAGGTGGCTGCATAAATACAAATATTGTGTTCAACAAGATTGTGTTACTATGTTGTGTTTTGTTTCATTCACATGATTAACACACAAACCACACATATTTAGGGTCCTCTCTCAAACAGAAAACACTCTGTTCCTCCATTTTTAACTCACATACACCTTCCCTAGAATCATTTGGATAATTTCATGGAACTTCTAACTTGAAAACTACCGCTTCGAGACATCACAAGGTAGAACAGAGCATTCTGAGTTTTGGAGATGTAGAGAGACTAATAAAGCAGGATTACTCATAACAGTGCAGAAAATACTGTAATATGGGCCCTTTAAATGAAAAATTAGTAATGCAAACTTTAAAATTATGAGTTTTAGTTGTATAAACATGTAAATACAACATTTTAAATCGTGACTGAGAATGGGGTACTGACCGGTGATTGGGGCTGACTGCTGGGGGCTGGTGAGGCTCCGGCTGGTCTTCGTCGCCATAGAAACACTCCACAAAGAGGAAGCAGTAGCAGCAGGCTCAGAGCGCCCCCTATGGCCACCAGAGGCACCAGTCCTGAGGAACACGTGAGAGCTGCATGATTTCGATTTTGAGAAAGACTTACATTACATTTACTTGGGTAACTTTATAAAGAAATAGTACTTTTCAGAGCAGTTTTCTAGATGCATACTCTAACTTGAGTAAAAGTTTTGTGTTTACTCTTCCCACTGTGAGTAAGCATCAAAATATTTATGTTGACAATATTAAATTATTTGAACGTTAACATCAACAGTTTTTTTGTTTGAGATATGATTTAGTTGTATCATTTTTGCATCTGAAAATACCAGATTTTGTCATGTTTTTATGATTACATTAACATTTGATTTATAATTTGAAGTTAAGTCCTGACAGTTACTCTATGCTACTCTTAATTGAGTAATTTCCTGGACTACTAATTGGTATGTCTGCTGCATTAATATTATTTTGAACATTACTCTTTTGGGCAATATTTGAATACACTTTTCTGTCAGTAATATCAGTTATTGTCAAAACCAGGACTAGATCAAGGCTAAATTTGGACTTTAATGAAAATGATAAATAAATTTGCTTCATTAATATATATATATTTTTTTTTAAACAGTGCATTTTAGTCAGTCATGTGAACACAACATGTCGAGTATGTTGTGATATTGATTCTTTTCCGATATATTGTGCAGCGCAAGAACACTCAAATCAAAAGCACGTCTAATGGACATCTAATGGATTGGGAAACAGATACGGATCAATATTAAGACGACTGTAGAAACTAGATGCTCTTTTGAGCAGGTATTGATACTAAAAAAAAAAGTCACATCCACAGGACAGAAATGAACCTTTCCTGAATAGCTATAGAATGACATTGAGCTGCATCAGAACAAAGATAAGAGCACATAGACTAGTATACTCCCATGGGACCACTAAGGGATTACACCGATATAAGACCTCATGGAACCACAATTTAATGTTGAAAATCACATTTTCTTGATTAAAGAAAGAGTGTTTTTATTATCATCATGAACTGGTCATGCTATAATCTTGTCTATTGGATTCTCTCACCTGTATAGGACACAGTCTGGATGCACTGAGGGCTGGACATGGGGGAGGAGGTCATGTTGATGTTGGGGAAAGAGAAGTAGGCCACAGCACAGTAGTTCTGACCTGCAGCTAAACCAGAGAACACCACGAAGGATAAGGTCTCATAGGTCCAGACTGTACGGCTCTGAGAATAAGAGGACAATTTATTACCATATACAGTGAAAAAATGTTTTTAAAAAGACTCACTGATTAAACAATGACAAAATATTATTATTTTGTTATGAATTATTTTCAAAGCAGAGATGGGGGTTATATTCAAGTAAAACTAGCTGTTATGTCCCATATTAGCTGTATGTAAAAGGTTTTCTTTTAATTTCTGTATGTCAACCTTCTGAAAAAAGGCATCTATCAATCTCATGGAACATGTAAAACATTAGTGGAAATCTGTAACACACTGTCTAGACTAAATCTCATGTTTAGTGAGATATTCTTCAACTAGGGAATTGTCAACAGCCAACAAATACTCAGTCTACTTCTATCAGGTCATCCCCAAGAACACCAGCTATACCCCAGATAATTCAGGCAGAATTTGAAATCTGACTTTCTTTTGTATAGAGCTTCTTCTCATTTAAAATTAGAGTAGATCAGACAGCAGAGGCCAAAACTACAGCTCCTCAGCTTCAAAAAGAGTGCGGCCATTCTGTGCTCCAAAGTGTTCAGAATCAGATTCTGTTTGAACTGAGACTCATTTTAGTCAGACATTCTTGGAAAAAAACAGGCTGGAATAGTAAGAGGTTAAAAACAATAAAATAAATTAATTAATCATTATGCAACATATTTCACCTAACACATTTATTTCACCTAAACCAACAGGGAGTCTTTTGCAACACGCTGAGCTCTTTGCATAATACTACACATTAGGTTTGTGTGTAGTCTGACCCATTGACTGTATACACAAATCTGACCTGGTACTCGCTGAGTTTGTTGTAGAGCGTCACGGTGGTCAAGGGGTCGATGAGCTCCGTGATGGGGCAGCAGCGTCGCGCAGAGCACCGCCTGCTGGTCGCACACGGGAACTGCACCTTGACCAGCAGCTGATCTTCTTGTAGAGACAAGGACAAGGAGGGCGCACTGAAGGCTGGAACCGGGAGACACACACGGGAATGTGGGTTTAGATTCATGGGAATACACATGGGTTAATTATACAGTGAGTGGTCTTGTTTCATAGAGTTTAACGTGATAAAAAAAAATGGTTAGGTCAATGGCCATTTTAATAAAAAGAAAACAATCACGTCATATAATTTCCTCGAGTGTAAAATCGTGAAATATGACTAACTAAAGTCTGTGTAGTCGAACTTGCGCGGTTTCATCCACACGGTGGTGCTGGGGCTGAGGTGCACCCCCACGCGCATCATGCTGTACCCCTCAAAGTTGGAGACCGCCTGGGACACGTCACAAGTGCGAGAAGACACCCAAATGCACCACGAAACATCCCTCCATGGGTCCCTGAAGTGGACATAACACAGTTTAAATTACTAAAACCAGATATAAGAAAGGTTGTACGAGAGTTAGGGTGAAATGCATCAATGAATGTATCAAGTAAATATATATTTTTACTCTCTATACTGTATATTGATCGATTATGCATTAATACAGTTGTTAACCGGCCAAAGTTTGAATTCTATTCCAAACCACAGCCCTAGATCATAAATGGTCATTTAAATGCAGCTATCTTATAGTTGCTTATAATTGTGTGTGAACTGACTGACTGACTTACTAATCATTTTTATTTATTTCAAAACATTCTATCAAAAAACGCGCTTTGTGTTGCATTTTTTTTTATGAAAAGCGCTCTATAACGTTTGATTGACTGATTGAAAACTGGGTTAACACAGGAGTATGTATGGAAGTATGTGGTGACAAAAGTAGTATCGCTGTTTAAAAATACAGATATCATAAAATCATATTTGAGAATTATTATAAGTAGCCTAGTATTAGTAGTAGTATTATTAGTAGTGTTATTGTGAAGAAACGTCACAAATAGACTATTAATCATGATTATTGACTGTATAATGAAACCGTTTGCTGTGTGTTTCTGAATGATAAACTCAAAGGGACACAAACAGCCAGGTAAAAAAAAAAGCACTTTTCTTGAGTTTTCTTTTATGTGGTACCATTTTGAGAATGGTTGGCCCTTCAAATAGATAATGTTTTGTATTATTGTATAGCCTAGTTTATTTCTATGGCAACAGTCCTTACTTTTCATCATTCTGAAACCTATGAATAGATTGAATAGCATTATTATTTTTTATTAATTATTACTATAATATCGTAACATGAATTATCACAAATCACTAACCAATAACACTGACATTCCTAACTGAAAAAGGCACACTAAGTAAAGCGTGCGTGCAGACTCCAGACTCACCCCGGCTTCTTCGTCTGCACGCTGAAGGTTGTATTAGGACTGGCTTTGGGACAATCCCACCGCAGGAGGCATCCTAAATCCACAGACTCCAGAGTGGTGTAGCAGGAGATCCCAATCGACCCTGCATGGACACACGGCACAAGCACACAGAAATAGCACAGGCGCATTGATCTGTTAAGTCACACCTCTGTTAAGGTGACTGTAGATACAGAGGTACAGTTGTATTGAAATAAGTGCATGTAATTACTCACCGTTGATGGACAAGAAGAGGATGAAGCATGAACGAAGCAGAGACCTCAGACCATGAGAAATCAAATCTTGGCCCGTCATCAACTGTTCCATGTTAAAATGAAGATTGGAGGAGTAAAAAGTTGCATACAAGCAGGTTGGACCACAGAGGGGGAAAAGAGAAGGAGGAGAAGTCTGGCCCAGGTAGCGGGAGGGGGATAGGTGGAGATAAAGATCTAATTGGAAGGCCAGAGATTTTGTAAGCGATAGGAAAGGTCATAATCTCTTTAAGGGGATGACCAAAATAGGAGGATTAAAGGTGAACTGTGTAACTTTTTTTGGTAGAGGGTCCATCACCTGCTTGTCTCAATGGGACTGTGATTGTTTTGCCTGGAATATTTCACAGTAAAGTATTCAACTTGTCTATTTTGTGTAGTACAGCTGTTTTTACTACATAAAAATACCATAACAAACTTAGATACACTGCGACGCCTCTCCATAAATCTCACCTGCAGGCCTAATTTCATTTCTGCCCATCTTCATGGAGATAGATGAGTTTAATGCATCACTGGGGAACATTCTTGGCAAAGCAATAACAACTCCATGGAGACAAGCAGTTGGCAGACCCTTCACAACAAAAGCTACACACTGCACCTTTAAACAAATTTACAAGCTAATATTAATCAAACAGCGCAATTAAGGTAAGTGAAGTGTCAATTTTCATACCGCAAGCTACTGCATACAATTGTTGAATAATGAGGTCTAACTATTAAAATCATAATAAAGGCAAGTGAGCAAGAATTTAAATTTGTTTTTCTTAGCAGGGGTCATAAAAGTACTAAAAGGTCCTATATTACACAAAATTAATTCTTGTGAACTTTAAGTTATGTAATGTTTTTATCTTGTCAAAAACATCTTGAGTTGTGTGTTATTTCATTCATACATTTGAGTAATCCTGCATTATCCTCCATCTCCAAAGCTTAAAATGCTACGATAGTCCTCGAATTAACAGCACCTTTTACATTTAGTTCTGTAGACCTACAATTCCAGGGCTAAAATCATCCAAATGATTCTAGTAAAGATGTACTGAACTGGGAAAACACACTATTACCACTTGACATCACAAGGTGGAAGAGAGTGTTTTCTGTTTGAGAGAAGAACTCAGTCTAAATAAGCAGGGTTTATGAATTAAATATGTGTGAATGAAACCAAACACAACTTGGGGTTTGTTTTTGTGGAGGAAACATAAATTAGAAGAGGTATAAATAGGCCTTTAAATGTCTTTTTCCATGGAGACGAGTGACACTATAAGGCAACACTTAGTCACCTCTCCAGACCTGACCGTTGAATGAATGTGGGTTTATCCATTTGCGTAATAAGCATGTGTAACTGAACAAAACAGGATGTTTAAGCAACTGTTTTGCCTGGAATGTTCTACAATTTGGAACAATAAGATCTCCATGAAAACAAGCAGGTGATGTAACCTCTACTTGAATATTATACTATGTAACTTTTCTAGTGATCTTGCTTCAACAGTTAAATTAAGAATACAGTCAAAGGCGCATTCTACTTTTTATTTAATACAATCTTTAAATAATAAGAATCTGTTTTATTAATATTCTTTATTCACAACAATACATTGGAAGTGCACCAAATGGACTCATTGCAACAATAATACTAAGCTCAACATTCCTTGGTTCATCAGCAGTATCAGTCAAAAGAATCTTTACATCTACAAATATACAGTTTACAAGACGGACACAGGCACAGTGGCGCCATCAGCCCAGCAGAGGTCGCCAAACACCGGCCTCCAAACAGGGAGGCCGTTAAATCGAAGCACAGCATTAATCATGTTTTTGTGGAGCAGCCTCTGCACCAAATGTCTGGAAAGGACGTGGTCTATTGCTGAGATAAACTGTGCAAATTTGAAGAGACACACATCTTTTCTGAGGAAGAGCTTTAGACCAGAGATAGAAACCTGTTTTTTTTTTAAGCATTCATGTTTTGGTGTTTAAGGCTAGCCTGACCAGCCACTGTAAATAAATTTTAAAATTTAAAATATACATTCTTGTTTAACTTTTATGCTTGATTTTGGGTCATTTCAATGCAATCAAACAGCAAAAACAGAATAAACTGATCTGAACTTAAAATAACCCCCTCTGCATTTGATAAAACAGCCACATTTTATTTGAATCAAGCTCTGAATAATCACATCAATAGGAGGGGTGCCAGACCCACATTACTTTGAGAGTCCTGCTGGTCAGGCTAGTTTATAGTAGTAGACCTGGAGAGTTTATTTGCTGGCGCTTCAGACCGGTCTAAGTCCGTGCACTGGGGAGAGACAGTCCTGGCTCCAGGCTGGAGGTGGTCACGGTGGGGGTGGGAGAGGGAGGTAGGCCTTTGGGTCCCGGACGAAGCAGCCCACGTGAAGCTGCTGAGTCCCCGTTGAGGTTCTTATAGGCGTTCCTCCTCTGCGGAGCGCGCAGGCACACAGAGGGGAAGTGCAGCCCTGGAAGACAGCAGCCAGGGCAGGATATGACCTCCTCCTGGTCCAGAGAGTGACCACTGCCAGAGCCAAAGGGTGACAGGGCGCCTGGGTCACTGGGCGTGGAATGATACCCGTTATTGTTGTCCAAGGTCATGGGTGGATCTGGAGACGTCCAGCCAATAGGGCATCCAGTAACCACATTGTTGTTCTCCAGGTTAGTGAGGGGGGGTAAACAAGGGGGCCCATTGGAAATGGCAGACCCCCAGCTGTTTGACAGAGGGGTGGAGGAGTGGGAAGGGGGTGGAGTCAATTTAGAATACAAGGACGAAGTGCTGTCCTGAGTGTCTGGAGAGTTGGAGCAGTCCATAGGCTCCACCCCTTTCTCCTCTGACAGTTCCAGGGACAGGGGCTCAGCAGAGAGGGGCAGTCCTGAGTCCCCTACCACTGTCCCACTGTAGTCTATGCTTTCCCCTAACAGCCTCTCCTCTTCACTCACACCATTCACCTGCCCACTGTCCTCACTCAGGACTGTTTTGGGGGCAGAGGTGAGGTGGGGGGGCGGGGTACAGGGGAGAGAGAGGCTGCGTCTGTGTCTCCGGGGCTCTGAGTCCTTGGGCACATCTGTGCCATCACAGGTGTCCGGAGGAGGGGGCAGCATGAAGGTCAAGGAGATAACAGACTTACTGGGCGTATCGAAAAGCTTTATCTTTCCTCCTTTCAGGTCTTCTCTCTGTGAAAAGGGGTTGATGCGTGTGTGAGGGGTGAGGATGACACAGGGGGGCGTGTCCTGGGGGTGGAGCATGTCCGATTTGCTGCGGGATAAGCGAGGGTCTGTGGGGAGGCCGAGTGAACGACGACGCAGAGTGGTAACAGGAGGTGAGGCAACTGAAAGTATAATATGTTACTTTTAAGTTATTATATAGTACAGGTACATCTAAAAAAATATTGAACTTTTTCATTATAAATTTTTTGAGCTTTATTTCAAATCTCTACTTATTGATTCAGATATTAGAATGATAATAAAAACGTATTTATTTAGGCAATAGCATGTCTTTTTCAACATTAAATCATAGCACTTTCTTTTATATTACCATGCAGCCTTATATCTGTGTAATCCCTCAGTCGTACAGGTAGGGTTCACAGTGGTCCATTAGCGTATTCTAGTCTATGTGCTCTTATACTTGTTCTGATACAGCTCAAGATCATTCTAAACTATTCAGGAAAGGTTAATTTCTGTCCTATGAATGTGACTTATAGACACTTGTTCTACTAGTATCTAGTTTCAATACTAGTATTCACTTAGTATTTGATTTTCTTACATACTTTGACAATCCTAAATTAAAAGTATTTTTCTTTCATGATCTAAGAACAGTAAAAAAAATCCCAAAAGGTGATATACAAACAATGTACCTTTAACCAGTGTCTTTTCCTTCTGGTTCCTCTCTGCCTGCTTCTGCTCCAGCTCCAGCGCTATTTGTGAAAAGGATGGCCGCAGCTTTGAACTCATCTGAAAAAAACACACATACACACACAAAAACTATTAAAGTGGAACTGAAGATTAAATTTACTTTTTTCGATACTGAACTGTGTATATGGTGTTTTAATAGCACCATCTACTAAACTCATCTTTTATCAACTTCAGATTTATTGCAAAACCTTTAGCTTTCTGGTCAAAAAGTCATAAATGCAAGTTTGTGTTGACTTCACTGGCCTTGGCAATTTCTACTAGTTGGTGACATCACACATCACTGTCCTGATTACAGCCAGTTGTTTTTGAGCACACACCTGGTTGAAGGGTCAGAGTTTCAAATGCGGATACCCGTTAGACGATTCACACTACTCCTTATACCCTCAGACCTACAGTCCTTCTCTCTGACCTTATTTAGTCCTCTAGTTTCTCTAGTTTAGTTGTTTACTCCCACTTTAAGGTAATTAAGTAAGAAGACCAGTACTTTTCAGGGGAAGAGCTAAAGTATAAATTGAATTGTTTGCAGAATTTAGTCCTGTAATGTGGTCAGGGTCTTACATTACAGCAGGTGATGGCCAAATCCAGGAAGTCAGGAGGGCAGTCTCCCACCATGTGCTGAAATGTCTCCACATCCAGACCAAAGTCCTGCCAGGAAGAATACAGAAATCTAATATCTGTATCTCTTATGATAAAACCCATAGTGAAATACAACGGTGATGGTATACACTAAAGAGTCTGATGGTTTAAGAATGACACTGCAGTTAGCATTATCAGCTGCATGTATATCATTCACACATGTTGGCTAAGGACTTGTATACGTCTAATCAAGATTATGAATCAACCTCCTGTTTATAGATAAATACGCTTTTTGTACTAATTAATAATGTAAATTTCAAGCAAAGGTCCATCTTAATGCATTAAATCTTCTGTTAAAGGGTCCATATTGCACCATTGTCTGATTTATGTTATGTTGTTTACTCATCAAAAACATATCTGGAGTTGTGGTTTGCTTCATTCATGTTTTAACATGCAAGCCACTACCACTACATGACATCACAAGGTGGAACAGAACAATCTGAGCTTTGGAAATATAGACAGACTAAAAATAAAGGGTTACTCAAACTTTTGTGAATTAAACAAAACAACACCAGGTATGTTTTTTAATGAGATAACAGCATTAGAACGTGACGTAAAGCTCACAAGAGTCAATTTTATCTAACATAGGATGTTTAAAAGCGAAATGCAAAACTAAAATAAGAGCCACATGTTTTTTATATATACAGGATATACTGCCCAGCACCAACCACAGTAAAATATTATCCTGCATTATTAAAAGTAAGGTAAAAAGAAAACACGAGTTGATGAAGCTGTGGTGATAGAAGTGGTACCTCTTTGCGTGGCAGTATGTCCGGGTCGGCCTGTATCCTCGCGATGATCTCACAAAGGATGATCCCATACGCAAACACATCCACCTGCACACATGAAAACACAAGACCTGATGATTAATGGAAATTAAGAGCAACGCTCAATAAAACACCACTCTTTTATTTGTTGTTATTCAGAAGGCAATTATTTTTCTAAAATCTGAAGGAATATATGGTGGTACTTGATCACACTATTTAAACTTCAAACTGCATAGAGTCAGTGAGAAAATGAGAAAACACTGCTCTTGTGGTGACGGCATGTGCGATTTTTACTTCTCCAATTAGTGATAAGAAATGCAGAACAAACAGTACTATGTTGCATCTTTACACTATAATTTAAATGCAGTTCAGTGTAAAGTATTTTAAGTGTTCCGAATACAGAACCAGTACTCTAATTGGACCATGTAACTAAATACATTTTCAAAGTATTCTTCCCATCCCTGACAATTACTATATTGACTTATCATCCAATATATGATTGCTGGATTAATATAAAATGGATTAATATATTTTGGGGCTCAATATTTCTCGTGTGTGCAATATTGGAGAGATTTTTGTTATTTTTTGTTGTACGAAAAAACAACCTGCAGAGGGTCAAAAATTTAACTTTTATGGCTAATTATTGCTTCATTTCCCTCAGATGCAGTATCCTTTTGTGATACTGTATATTTAAACAGATTATCTTATATTTCTTGTGTCAGTGTCTTAAAATACTTCCAATATTATTGTTTAAAGTTGTATATCCTTGTAGCAATATATCGTGACATAACACTCCTTTTATGACAAGCCTGCAGAATGATCACTTCATTTGTTATTGTAGCATAACATGCACACACATTTTTGTAGGAGAGCCAAATGCAGACCAATCACTTTAAATTGAATGGTGTAACCAGATTCCAGATGACGTTTCATTCATCAAATGGTTATTGCTTTATAGCACTGGTCCATGCCACAGTGTGTTCCATGAAGACAAATCCATCAGTACCTTCTCATTATAAACCTCTCCTCTGAGCACCTCCGGGGCCATCCAGTAGGGGGACCCCACCACAGCCAATGGCTCCTGCGTACCATCCTCACTGCAGAGGAAAACGGAAACGGAGTTACAATTGTGCTGCACCAACACCAATTTATAAAAGGTCTTAATACCTGATAAAACACCAGTAATATGAGCATAGCATATAGTAATTATACCGCATATAAAAGTATAAACTACAGTCATTTCAGAAAGTGCGTCAACCCCCTGTTGATTTTTTACAGATGGTGTCTATGTGAGAAATAACTCCTAATTCATTTCAGATACTTACACCTTCTCAAGCTGTTACTGTTTGTTTTCAGTTCTGTGTGATTTATTTTCATCTTTGATTTTTATATAAAAACATATTGAGCTCTACTTATCGTGTACACAATTGTACACTGCCTTTGGATAAAAAAAAATGTTATAATTAATAAAAAGTGCTCAGCAATGTTTAAGATTGGCTTGATCTGGTCAGATTGCCCCAGGGCATCTGTGGCTATGGAGATTGAATACAACCACCAATGATCTATAGTGAGTGAATAATAAATACACTGTAGTTAAATATGAAATATGGAAAGCAATATAATTTGAAACTTAGTTTCTAAAATCTAAAATAGGCCAATGTAATGACTTTCCCCCCTCCCACCTCAGTTTTGATCATATGACCAGTTATGGTAGTCCAGTCAGCACACTGTATTATGGTATTAAATTGTACACTATACATCAATGAGGCATGAGTATAAGAGGCTGAAGTCTTAACTGGCCGTTTAGCAGCCAACTGTAAGGGGATCTGTGTGAAGCCCAGCACAGTGATTAGCAGCATGCAGCTTTCACTAAGCTGTGTCAAAAGCAGTTGTCTCATTGTTTTTATCTGCACTTCCTTTATTGAAGAAACCACAGTGCTTTTCAGTTATGTGCTGATACAGTTGCACAATTTCAGCTGAATTAAAAAGGAAGGACACACATACGCATATATACACACACAGACTGACACACACGTGCATACATATACGTACAGAGAGAGACACTGGGGCACATATACCCACATGCACACATGCGCACACACACTCATATACAGTAGATACATACACGCGCACACACACAGATATACAAATGCACATGCACACACTCACATGCATACACAAACACACACACTCCCCGCTGGCAGATACTTCCTGACTGCTATTTCCATCTGTTCTGTGACTATCATGGAGCAAAAAATACAACCAAGGCAGTGAGGGGAGAGGGAGAAATGAGTGAGCCACCATTGTAAACAAGGCTTTGAAAACAGTCAATGCTGAAAATGTTATTAATATATCTAGAGGAGTGACCTAAAATGAGTGATTACAGTTAGTACCAGAGCTAAAGGAGGAACTCTGGAATACTTTGACCTTATTTGGTGTGCTTTCCCTATCCCTCCCGCCAACTCCTTCATTCCCAGCCATGAACATTGTGGTAGCGCCGGCTCCAACCCACACGTAGTACTGTCATGATAAGTACTATATCAACTTATGAAACAATATATTTTGGGGCTCAATATTTGTCGTGGAGATTTTTTCCATTTTAATGTAATAACACAACATTTGAGCTGAAGATTAGAATAAATAACTTCTGTTTGCTAATTTTTAAAGGTGCACTGTGCAACTTTTCTAGTAAAGAATCCACCACCTACTAGTCTCCATGGAAATGTCATCAATTTGTCTAGAATGTTCCACAGTATAAATTAAACATCTATCATGAGTGAGACGAGCTGGTTACAGCACTATGCAACATTACAATTTAGATCTGTGGAGAGGCGCCACTATTCACAGAAGGAATTATTGCATTTTTGAGGAATAGAAACACCTGTAAAGAATAAATGCTAGATGAACAATATTTGTTTAGAGTAATACAAGCAGGTAGCAGATCCTTCACCGGAAAAGTTGTGACAGTAAACCCATTTTTAGAGTACTTTCAATTTACTTTAAATTTTATCATTTATCACAATATTTCTGTGCATCAATATACTTCAAAATGTGTTATTGAGACAGGCCTACCCACACACGCATTAGAAAGTGCTATCAACATTTCAATTCTGACAGGATACAGCAGTGTTTGACTGTAATATTAAAGTACACAGGGCCTTGAGTCTGACAAATGCATTTCACACATCGCTATTGAAATGGAGCAAACAGAGGCTTGTCCGATAGCTGCAGGTATGTACTGAGTACACTACAGGAGTCAGACGTGTGGACAGATGGATTGTGAGACATTAAAGGAAGTCTCTATGGCATGTTTATCCTGATTAGTTAAAGTCTGTTATACAAGACTGAATTAAATCTGCACCCTGTAGTCTTACCACCTAAAAATACAAAACTTTATATTCCCACATTTAGAACTAATACTTTTTAATACTTAATAATACTTTATACTTTTAATACTTCTTTATACTTAATACTACTTAATACTACTTAATACTACTTAATACTGCTTAATACTACTTAATACTTAATACTACTTAATACTTCTTAATGCTTAATACTCAGTGTTGTCACGCTACTAAAATTTCAATCTCAATTTTGATACTAAAGCATAGACTTCCTACTCAATACAGATTCTGATAACAAAGTCATAATTTTAAAAGGTTTTTTTTTTTTTTTAAGACAATATTGTAATAAATGTATGTTGCTTATACCATGAAAGAAAACTGTAAAACTGTTCAGGAAAGGTCAAATTGTTTTTTCAGTATCAATACTTGCTTAAATAGTTTTAGTATTGTAGTATCACATTTTCATTACCTCTGACAACCCTAATAATCATAACAATACTTGTACACTTGTATTAGGCCAGTCATAATAATTACTATATCGATTTATCATTCAATAGATGAAAGCTGGAACAATATTCTTTGGGGGTCAACATTTATCGTGTATACATTTTATTTGCATGCTGGGAAATTTGTTATTGTCTCTTCTTGTCCAGGACCCCAGAACTGGACCCTGTTCCTATTAATTTTTGTCAACAGGCCTGGTTTATAGTCCATATTTACTTATGCACTTATATATATTGCATTTCAAAATGTGTTATTACAGGCTTGTGTATAGCACTTTTCACATGTCCAAAGATGCTTTACATAAGGACACAAAGACAAACAAGGATTAAAAAAAATGTTACTCATACTTCACAGAACAGAAGTGCAAGTGCTAAACGAAGGGCCCATAAACTGTGCATCTGGCTTTAAATGTTCAGACTCCTATATGGACAGATATTAACCTTGAGCACTTTTCTATAAATCTACCTAAAATCCTTCCCCTGATAAAACAGCGCAGTTGTGTAAACACAGACCTGACCTGACTTTGGCCCATTGTAAAGAGGAGGTCCACAGTGGCGGCTCTCTGGAGAAGCATGAGTTTAAAGGAGGAGGGGGCAGAGCTAAAGGGTATGTGCAGTGTGCTTGTCTAACAGTCAGACACAATTACCCATGTATAATACTGTTAAGTGTGGAGGACAGCAGATGTGTTTGAGGTCCAGTCAGTGTGAAATTTAAGTGCACTATCGCTGGAATAAGGGGAGAGGTTGAGGTGGGCTAGGGTCTTCTAAAGTATTGAAAATTAGATACTAATTGATAAACTAATCGAAACTAGATACTCATTTGAGCAGGTATCCATCACAAAAAATTATAATCTTCACAGAACAGAAATTAACCTGTCTTGAATAGCTTTTGAATGATCTTGAGCTGTATCAGAACAAGTATAACAGCACATAGACTAGTACACATCCATGAACCTACCTGGATGACTAAGGAATTACACAGATATAAGACATTGAGTCTATTCCTTAGTATCGAAAGTGTGAAATTTTAATATCTAAACAGCACTCATCACTTACACTCTCACCACAGTGGATCATAAAAATGCTTTCTTTGAAAGGAAAAGTGATGATTACAGGATTGTAATACCACTATTTTATTAGTTTACAGTCATTAAAACTCGTCATCACAGGTCAGTTATCCCACTGCATGTGTTAAAGGTCATATATTACGCAAAACTGACTGTTGAGAGCTTTAAACCAGGTTATAATGTTACCTCAAAAACATACATGGAGTTGTGTTTTGTTTCATTCACACATGTTTCATTAACCCTTTATTACTAGTCCATCTAGTCCATCTACTTCCGCAAACCTCAATATGCTCTGTTCCACCTTGTGATGTAATTAAGCAGTAGTTTTCAAGTTAACAACTACCTTTTACCTTTTGTTCATTAGAGAGATTGGCATTTCCAGGGCTGAAGTTATCCAAATAATTCTAATGAAGCTGTATGGAGTTTAAAAACACAGTGGAGTGCTTCCTGTTTTACCACATGAAATCACAAGGTGGAACGGAGTGTTTTCTGTTTAAGAGAAGAGATCAGCCTAAATATATAGGGTTTGAGTGTTAAACATGTGTGGATGAAACAAAACAAAAGTCCAGGTATGTTTTTGATGAGGAAACAACATATAGATCAGAAAATAGTGTAATATGGGCCTTTTAAATTTACCTTCAGCTTTCAATTTTGTTCACGTTTTAGTTTAAGATCGTGTATGCACTAAGGAGTAATACACAGCACTGTATTGCTTATCAGCTGCACAATGTGGAATGCATTTGTATACTGCAACCACCAAAACAAACTTTGAAATTAAACAAAGTCTTGTATAAGTCCTAAATATTACAATTTGCATCTCTTGCAAATATTTTATAGCATGCAGTCCATATGATATGTTTATTGTTCCATCCCTAACAGGTAACCACATGTTTAAACAACATTTCTATTCACCCTGATGTTTCTCATGGAAGAAATCCATCTTGGAAAATGACACATGAGAGGATAGCTGTGACTTGGCTGCTCATTTACAATCCGCTCTGAATTGATGGTTGTGAATTTAATATTCACATAAATGTCAGTGCATAATGAACGCGAGGCTCTGGACACAGGAAGTGACAGTGGCACCCAGAGAGGACCAGAAGACGTCATGGCAACACGCATTAAATATTGACGCATCTTTGTGAGTCAGACCTGTGTCTACTTCCCCTGTGCTAAAAATCATGTTTCGCATCAACTGATACTTTGCAGTGACATCATACTGGCAGGGTTTTACATGGCTGTGTCCAAATGTCCACGATAACTCCTAACCACAATTCACTATACAGGCCTGCATTATTTAGCGGACTAGATAGTGCACTCATGTAGAGCAATTCGGACACACAGCTCAGATCATGTGACTAAAAAAATTTTTTTTTTCTCACCCAGATGCCAAATGCAGAAAAAATGTATTTCTATCATAAATAATTCTCAAATATGACTGGCACACAAGTGTTTTGTCAGGCTGTTTTTGTAGACTGACTGGATTATTACTTTTAGCAGCTCAAGCTAAGGAAAGCAGAATTGTGGTAAATTTTCAGTGCATTACTTTTTCAACTGCTGGTCATTCAGACTCTACAAAAAATGGCATGAGCAGGGAATAGTGTGTACATTCAGACAGCCTATGTATGTATAAGGTGGAACGTTCAGAAGTTACCTCGTTGACACAAAGTACACATTAGCAAACACAAAGTTTTAAAATAGATTGAAAAAATACAAAACAGCACAACAACATTTTCAGGAGCCTGTGAACAACATGTGCACTCGTGGTCCTGTTGAGGAGTACGTCAGATTGTGTTAAAACTCAACTCAGATTAAGGTCTAATGTGAGTAACAGATTTCAGACAGAGCACAGCCTCCAGTTAGCATCACACCCTCAGGGAATATCTCAATAGTTCCACTGGCTGGGACAACCACAACATCTAAAACATCAGCTGCATAGTTTGGAAAAAGCTGCCTGTTCCCTGGGGTCCCATTGGAGGGTCTGTGAATACTGGACAAAATGGGGAAGTAAAAGCAGAAGTGCAGTAATGGCTTATCTAATCACAGAGTGTTGATGGAGGGTTTGATGAGGAGACCTGAGGCACTGACCTGTAATCTGGTATTTTCTCTGCCAGACCGAAGTCCCCTACCACTCCAATGCACACGCCGTCCTCCCAGCGGACCAGGCAGTTCTGTGGAGAGAGTATGAGACAGTACGTTCAATGTATGAATACTAATAAACCAAGATAATAGGGATGGACTGTTCCATACAGCTTTTTCTATCCTGATATTAAAGGGATGAAAAATTACACTTATTTCCTTAAAACAAATTTAACTCGATCTGTCAAATGACCACTGATGTTCTGGGCCAAAATCATCCTGTAAATCGTCTTATTACATCCAGTTAAAGGCACAGCCAGGATATCGACTTAACCGATATTATGGAAGTGATACCTGATCCAGCAACATTTTCCATATCAGCACGGATATTCAATACCAGTATCGGTATCGTTGCGTCCCTAGAATATACACAGAAAATCATGACAATTATGCTACTTTGGGGTTTTTGTCTAACCAAATAAGTGAACTTTTACAGCCCTGTGATATAATCATACTGAATCCATAACAAATATTACAGGGAAACATATTATGCCATTTTCTGATGATGTTTTATGTTATGTTGTTTACTCATCACAAACATACATAAAGAAAATGTGCTGTTCCACCTTGTGATGTGGCAATACAGGAAAAGCTCCACTGTGTTTTTAAACTCCATACACCTTCACAAGAATCATTTGGTCAATTTCATTCCTGGAACTGCCAATTTTTTACCACACCTGGGTATCAAAAAGACCATTTTGAATTAACCCAGAACATAATACTTAAAAAAACAAAACAACAAGTTAACCCCAGTGCCTTTTTACACTTTTGTGCATTACCAACGAAGATTGGACACCATTTAGAGCCCTCCTTTAAAGCCTAAAACTGTAAACCATGCGCTCCTGTTCAGATGACATATTTCTTTGCTTGTATTATGTCTTCTCTATATTGTTTTGTGTGAGTGATGTGTGTCCTGTGAAATGGCGTTCCTTTTGTTCAGCTGTGAAAACAAATTTCCCGTTAGGGACAATAACGTAACCAACCACAATTGTGTGACATCCATTGTTCATTTGCCTTAAATCACAAACAGAGGTCCTTATTTTGTTTTGGTCGACCTGCTCCCTAATGAAGACACACAATGCCTTATTTGAACACTTCAGGGTGAGGAGATAACTGCACTAAACATGACTAATATGCTCTCTTAATATAAAGGTTTGTGCTGATTGAAGATAGACGAAAAAAGATAATTATGAAAATATTTTATGCCACGGACTGATCCCAACAAAAAACGTCAATGTACAAAAATCATTTAAAAAACTCATCAGTAATAAATAAAGAGTTTTAAAGCCCAAACCTTGGCACATCATGGCACAGAAAAAAGCAAACAGTTACCTACTGGTAGAAGTGGTATTTAAAGCTAAATCAATATAGTAATTATCATGACAGGCCTATGTGTCAGTGATGAAAAAAACAGTCTTATATCTGTCTGCATCTTTGAATTCTGACTTTTCAGCAGAACACTGTCCACAAGTCCTTCGCTGTTTTCACAAGTTATTACTGTGGAACCAAAGATTAGAACCATAGATAAATGGACAGAGCTGACCCTCTATGCACCCCATTTCAAATAGGAAATGAACATGGGACACCTCTGGTTCCATCATTTACGATTGACTTTACACTGAAAAACTGTCACCCCTATCTCTGTACCTGCTGATGTGAGCCTTGCCATTTTGGTCTTAAAATGTTTATATTAACCCACTCTATTATCCTGGTGTTTTTATTTTGCTACTTTGTCCGTAATTACATTCCTATTTGTAATGTGGAACTGTGGAATTTGTAACTGCAGAAGCTCCTATAACTGCTAGCATTGTGAGCTTAATTTGACGCTATGGGTCATGTCACACTCCCTTAGTTCACTTCACAGTCTATGGTATAAACTGAGAAATATTAGCCAATTTAGACTCTTAAATAGCTGCAAATAGCTGCTCAAAACATTTAGAAAGGGCTAACAAAAGGCAATATATTGGTGCAAAGCTATTTCACACAGAGGCACACCGATTTTTTTTATTTAGCATTCCTCTACTGGATGTAAATTCCACACATCTTTATACAGTCTATTACCTTGGAGGTAAGGTCCCGGTGGAAGATTCCTTTACTGTGTAGATACTCCAGACCTCGAGCAATGTCCAGGGCCAGACTCAGGCGCATGCCCCAGGACAGATACACGTCACTGGCCAACAGCTGCTCCAGGTTCCCCCCGTTTATGTACTGCACAGATTATTATTTTTTATTATCACATTATGACACACACACTGACAAGTATAAATAAACTTTCGACATTTCAGGTCTTAATATTTGTTATCCTGGACATACACTACCAGTTAAAATGTTGGAAACACCTCATTCAGAGTTTTTTCTTTATTTTTACAACTTTCTACATTTAATGTACATACAGAATACATCAAATATATGAAAATAAGAAATATGCATGGAATTATGTAGCAAAGAAAAGATAAAACGTGTGTCTAAGTCCATGTCTAAATTTAAATCCTCAAAGTAGCCACCCTTTGCTGTGTCAATTTAAAAATGAAATTGATCTGAAAAATGTATTATACTTTATGCCAGTAATATTGTCTTAAACATATAAAAGTAACAATGTTTTATCTGCATTTAGTCATTTTTTTTTATCAGCAGTGTCAAAAAGTCACATTTAATCTCCATATACTGTATTGAATAAATTCATATATGGATTGCTTGGGCCACCACATGTGCTATGGCCAATGTAAACTCATATATTCTTATAGCAAAATATTAAATTAAAGCATTATATAATGTTAATAAAATAATGAAAATACCCAACTGTGTAGAGTAGGCAAAAATAGATGTGAGTTTATTAATGGTTGACCTTTGCAACATCGGCCATAAAATAAAGATAAAAGTTTCAACAAGACAGATAACCCAAGGACACACAAATATAACTTCTTTTAGATTAAGGGACTGTGTGTGTGTGTGTGTGTGTGTGCGTGTGTGTGCGTGCGTGCGTGTGCGTGTGTGTGTTACAGCACTTCCTTCCTTTACATCTTTGAGCCTAGTTGTAAGTGAATCTTTTATGCTATTGTAAAAAGTTATCATTTTAAAGGCCTTGATCAAAAACCAACCTCTGTGAGAGCATGGAGCTGGCCCTCATGGACGCAAACTCCAATAAACCTGCAAACAGGAAAAATGTTGAAAAGTAACAGTGTTGTAAGAAGGACTGCAGTTTATAGACAGTAAGGTATACTTCATTCCAACAGGTGTGTCCGTTTCACCCAAAGAATTAAGTTTAGATAATACTACATAGGACAAGTGCGACAAGACCAAGATTTCAAACCCGATTTTGATTCTAAGAAATAGATACGATACTCAATACCAGTTCCAATACCATGATGATAATAGTACTTTCTTTTACATAACCATGGGGCCTTTTATCTGTGTAATCCCTCTACTGTCAACGTGGATTCCATAGTGGTCCATGGGTGTATAATAGTCTGTGTGGTCTTGTTATACTTGTTCTGAGACAGCCATAGACTGTATAAAGAAGTGGACTAATGGAGTTTGACATCACCCATTGTGTTTGGCTCCAGTCAAATGAAGCTCACCAAGGTCTGCAGTTATAGGAGTGAATTTGGAGCAGATATATTAGGAATAGGAGTTGATTTACAGATATAAAAAACAGTGAAATAAAAACACCAGGATCATGTAGAGCAAACATTTTAAGACCAATATTTTGGTCTTAAAATTGTCTCATATTGTGAATACAAGTGAATTGGGGCCAGGGTTTATGGTGCCAGGAGCACATCCAATGCTCACATCCTTTGTAAAATGCAGTGGCTTGCAGGTTTGCTTGGTCCTTTTTATACAGTCTATGGATACAGCTCAAAATCTAAAGCTGTTCAGGAAAAATTCATTTCTGTACTGTGAGTGTGACTTTTTTAAATAACGCTACCTGCCCAAATGAGTATCTAATATCTTATTTTCAGTAGTTTTGACTACCCTACTGGAGGTGTCCATACCTGAGGATGTTGGGGTGAGACAGTCGGTTAAGCAGTTGCACCTCTTTGAGCATGTTGGCCTTGTTACAGGGCAGAGTGTTCATCTTCAGGGCCATGATCTGTCCGGACACGCGGTGCTGCACCTGTGGCACAGACACACACAGAGAGACATTACCTGGGCTCAGTTTTGACTTAACAAAATTCTGCTGAAGTTTGTCAACAGTGTGGCTGTCAACACCTATTAGTGGCAAATGTGCATCCTCTAACTGTTTGGATTAACAGTTGAGTGAAATATAATACAATAAGACAAAATGAGTCACTATATAAATCAAAATAATTGCTGGAAAATCCCTTCTGACTCATCCTCCTTTTAAAAAACAGACAGCTTTTTGTACAATGACATGACAGTTGCTGCAGACATGTAAATTGTGTGTGTGAAAGGGTATGGGAGGGCAGGAGGGAGAGAAGGGAGTCTCAGAAAGAGTAATAATGCATTCAGACCACCTCTTGTTGAACGCATTTGCAGTCACTTTAAACTTTAAAATGTTTGACGCCTGTGGCGTTGATGCCCAAAAACATGCTTGAGTTTAGTGCCCCAATTTGTTTTGGCTGCTCCAGAGCCCAAACCGACTGCTATGGCGATGACACAGTCTGGTATGGTTACTGTGGAGACCAGAGAGGCTTCCCTCCGGCTGCTGCACATTTGCCTGAGAGGTGGTTGGACTTCAGTAGAAATACAAGAGAAGGAGATGAGATAAAAGAGTAAAAACAGTTTGTCGTTCAGTTGATCCTATTTGGGGAAACTAAAGTTTCCCCATTATTGTACAGAAAACGTCCACAAGATAAATACCTGCTTTTACACAATGAATGAAAATTCCATATAGTATTATTGTAAGGTTTTCTAAATGCAGAAAACTGCCCGAATCAGAGTCACCAAAATGGGATTACATTTTTCATTTCACACCTCGGGGCACCTGGGGACACTGCAGATCAGACTCTTGCCTCAAGGGCCTGAGTTGTAGATCAGTCTTTACTGCCTGGCATCTTTACAACAGTCTCTCCAGTTTAATGTGAGGAGGTGAAAGGGCACATGGGGGTCATGTTTTGACTTCATTAGTGCATGAGCAGTGAAAGATGAGTGCAGGACGGGGCCAGTGCAGAGACACTACCAGGCTAAAGTAATAAAGCTTATTAGAGAGGAGGGAGTAATGCTATTAGCCAAACAGTCAGTCAATGAAGAGTCAATCTACCACACACCAGGAACCACTAAGAATCAAGACTATATGTAAAATAAAGTGCACAGTTTTACTTCTACCTTGAGTCCTGGTAAAATATGGTATAAAGCAAAAACATTATAGGATTATTTTTTTGTTTGTGCAAAGACAAATTTAGAATATACTGCTGAAGAAAATATAGAAAGTAAAACTATAATACTGCAACTAATGCACAGCTAATGACACAATAACTCAAGAGCAGATTTAAACCATAAAACACAGTTCTAAATCTGCAACATGTGAATCTGAAACATGAGCTGTAATGAATAAATAGCAGAATAAAACACTTTGGTACTTAGTTTGCATCTGTATTGAGTCAGAAGTTATTTCAACCTTTTACAACTCAAATCTTATACAGCCAAATAATAACCAAACATTTCTGAGTAGTGCAAAGAAGAACTACCCACTATAAATACTGACCCCCAAAATATATTGTTCCAGCTTTCATATATTGAATAAGTCCATATAGTAATTATTGGGACAGGCCTGTTTTTGTTCATGCATTTTGTACATAAGATCTCTTATGAATGTAATCAATGAAGTGGTGCCTTATAGAAGTGCTCAGGCTCTCTCGTTTTACCTTTAGATTTATGTTTCTGTGCGGTCCCGGCGGTGACTGCAGCAGAGACTGCAACAGACTCAAATGGAGAAGGAGCCAAATGCTGAGACTGCAGCTCTCTCTGTTCATACGTGCACCTCATCACTTCAGTTAGACACAGATCAGTTGTGAATGAGCTTGTACTATTGGTAGAGATTGACCGACCCTACCAGTATTTCTGGGACCATCTTAATTATTTTTCCCAAATTATGCAATTTGAATTACTACAAACCTGTTTTACTGCAAAGTGGATATAACAGCAGTATAGACACATTGTAAAGGTTTCCAAATAAATATATTGTGTTGGCATTCTGTTGGCCCAAACAAAATATTGACCTCTGCAAAAGATTTAAAAGGGGCACTGAGTAACATTTCTAGTAGAGGGTCCGCCACCTGCTTGCCTCCATGGAAATGTTATCAGATCAGATGAGCAGGTTACAACACTAACTCTACATTACAATTCAGATCTGTGGAGTGTCGCCCCTCTTCACAGAAGGAATTATTGTATTTTTAAGCAATAGAAACACCTGCAATGAACAAATGCTAGTTGGAAACGTTTAATGTCATACCAGGAAACATTCCAGGCACAGCAATAACATCTCCATGGAGACAAGTAGGTGGCGGACCCTCCAGCAGAAAAGTTGCGAAGTGCATCTTTAATGTTAAAAATGCAAATATCGCCATTATCCATCTCCACTTATTGGTCTCTCTTTTCATGCATGTCAGGCAGAAGTCAAATCAAAAATCAATCAATCAAACTTTATTTATAAAGCACTTTTCATACAAAAATGTAACACAAAGTGCTTTACACAGATTAAAAACAATCCCACATTTCCACCCACCCACCCACTAACCCAACCCCCACAGCTGCCCAACTCGACACAACCAAACATCACAGACACCCAAACCCCCCCACACACACACACATTAACCTGCTAAAATACATAAAACGACACATAGTAAAATGTGAGGCTGAATACAGGCGAACCAGTTGAGAAAGCACCATCAGAGGAGCCGTCTACATCAGGAGCAGAGAGACGTCCACCACCACCAGGAACCACCACAGGAGCCAGGGGAGAGATGAAGCCCAAGCTCCAACTCTCCACCAGGAGCCCACGGGACAGACCCGACAGCTACAGCCGACCTCTGCTCCTGATGCAGAGGGCTCCTACAGAGGAAACACTGCATATCCTAAAAATAAGTCTAAAATAAATAAATATAATTTAAAATGTGTATAGTAGAAACAAGTAAAAAATATGATATTTCATTCAAAAGCTAAGCTAAAAAGGTGGGTCTTGAGCCTACTCTTAAAAACATGAACGTTCTCTGCAGCCCTGAGCTCCTCCGGCAGGCAGTTCCATAGACGAGGGCCACAGTATTGAAAAGACGCCTCTCCGTGAGTGTGTGTCCTGACTTTGGGAATGACAAGGAGCCTGCTGCCGGAGGAGCGCAGGGTCCGCGAGGGTTCGTGAGGGTTCGTAAGGTAAAAGGAGTTCTGAAAGATAAGAAGGCCCAAGACCATTAAGACATTTAAAAACCAGTAAAAGAACTTTAAAATCGATCCTGAAACTCACAGGGAGCCAATGCAGTGATTTTAAAACCGGTGTAATGTGGTCCCGCCCTCTGGTCCTCGTCAGGACACGTGCTGCTGAATTTTGTAGTAATTGTAAAAATTATGTTGTCAAAACCTCCCTAGAGCTTGGTTCAAAAATAGTCCACAAGGTTTGCTACTACTGGCAAAGTCCACAGGTCTTCTTCAGCTAACAGATCATAATCATGTTGAAAAAGCGATGCATTCAGTTTAATAAACTTGCCTCTGAAAAGTCAACAGCCACAGCTTCACAAAGAATGAAATCTTCGAACTCACTTGTACACACACACGCCCTCATCCTTCAACACAGGCTCAAAATGCAGCAGCAGCAGCAGCAGCAGGGCCTCACAGCTCACCCGCCCGGACATGTGGATGTATCACTGGAGAGGTCCCAGACCAAAGACGGTTTCAACAAGACCATATGAGCAGCTACATATGCCACAGGGCTGCTCCAGGATTATCAAGGATTTCATGGATACTCTTAAAGGTGCATTGTGTAACTTTTCAAGTGGAAAGTTCTTCAAAAGTTATTGCTTTGTCTGGAATGTTTCTCAGTATGAATCTTTGTCATTAGAGACGAAACCAGGCCAAGTTACAGGTCAGATCTGTGGAGAGGCGACCCTCTCCCAGTAAAGTTACACAGTGCACCTTTAACGAGGAAAGCATCAGTCCTGTCCCATTGTGCACTGAAGTGTCAGGGGCTCAGAGGAGTCCCCTGAGGGGCCCAACCTGCAGTTTCAGAGAGAATGAGCTGCTTCAGCGAAATAAGAAGAGGATTAAACAGGGCCTGGGGCTGGCCTTAGACACAGTGGGTGATCCAGCTCTGCTCTAACACATCTCCACTCACAAAAGGTTTAATCTTACTAATCAACACAAGTGAAGCCATGTTATGCATTATTTTATTTACACAGAAAATAAGCTTACTTTCCCGTTCAGAAATGTTTAGTCAATAAAATTTTGCCAGTCTAAATCTAAAATTGAACTTTGACTTTTTAAACTAAATTGACTCTTGTGAGCTTTAAGTCATGTTAGAATGTTGTTATCTCATCAAAAATATACCTGGAGTTGTTTTGTTTTATTTACACATGTTTAAGTAACTCTTTATTATTAGTCTGTTTACATCTCAAAGCACCTTGTGATGTCATGTAGTGGTAGTTTAAGTTAGCAGCCACCTTTTACCTTTAGCAGTAGAGTTTGGCAATTCCAGGACTGAAATCATCCTAATGATTCTAAAGAATGTGTATATAGAGTTTAAAAACACAGAGGAACACTTCCTGTATTACTAAATTACTAAACAAGTTGGAGTTTTCAGTTTGAGAGAAGCAGGGTTTGTGTGTTAAACATGTATGAATGAAACAAAACAGAACTCCAGATATGTTTGTGATGAGGAAACAACATTATAACATACGTTAGATCAGAAAAGCGTAATATGCACTTTAAGTTTTCATATATTGTTCAAAGCATGTATAAAAGCATGTAATTTTATAAGGCATTCACTTCTTACAGTCTGATAATTGGGTTAGTCTGTGCACTTGCAAAAATCACATTTGTTTACTAACTTGGACAGTGGCCATCTCAAGGTTTAGTTGCTCTACCCTCACATAGCACAGAGAAACCAGGGCTTGAAAAACAATGTTGTGAAATAAACTCTTGCCCAACACTTCCACATTTTAATCCAAA